GTGGGGTTCAGGGATGTCAGGTTCAGGGTTTAGAGTTTAGGCACGAATGGATTCGGTTCCCCTTCAGCCTCAGGAGGGCCTGACATTCCCCTCCTTGACTGGAGCGTCTTGCTGTGAAGCCTCCAGGACGGTAATTGCCTCGGAATGTGGTGGAAGACTTATGATATACTTGAGTGAGGGAGTGTTACAGCGTGCTTGAGTACACCAGCAGGCGCTTCAGAATGTCCAGGTCCGACATGGTACCGAGGCCTTAAACCAAAAAGCTTCAAGTAGTAGTCGCTGGTTCTGTAACCCCGAAAGCCCCAATGCCGAAACCCCGGAAGCCATAAACCAAAAGTCTCAAACCCTAAAAACGCTCTAAGCCCGAAAGCCCGGCAGAACTTGAGCAGTGCGGCTGACCGCCGAGCCGAGGTGCGTCCGTCCTTGATTGTTTTTGCCCTGCTGTTGTAGGCTGTAGGTATTCTGAAAGTTTAACGGTATTCGGGTTTTAGGGTTTGGCGTTTTGTCTAGGGTTTTAGGAAATAGGGTTACCGGGTTTGGGCTTCGCGTTTGGGGTGGACATGGGGTTTGGGCTGGTCTGCCCAATGGCTCGCTCACATCGGCACAGTTCTCGTCCAGGTCCCAGGTGGTCCGCGTGAGCCGGGAACAGATAATTCCGGGCTGCTTGGACCTCTGGTAGAGGTTACGTGCAGTCTCCTCTGAAGGTTGCTTTGCATGAACAGCTTCCTGCACTTATCTTGGTTTGTTTGTGTGGCCCACCGCGATTGTTTCATATCAGTAGAAATCCGCAGAGTTGAGAGCCCCCGAAACCCTGAAGCCCAAACCCTCAACTTTACACGGAAGATGCAGGCTGGACTGAGGAGCCAGGCGGAAGAGAAGGCCCATAGCCAGCTTCGGACAAGCAGATAAGTCAGTCGGTGCTTCGTCGATTTTAAGGAGGCTTGGGGGGGCTTTGCAGAGCTCTGGAGGTCCTGAAAGGCTCTACAAAGTGGATAAGAGCATGAGCATGAGAGGCCGAGAAGAAACGGATTTGAGCGGCAGAGCGCTCGCATAGAGTCGCCCTTGCAACGTGCACTCTACCGGTCTTCTCTTCAACACATAAACCCTCTCGTTGCTCTCGGCAGGCCAGGGTCCAGCACGAACTGGCGACGGCCATGGAGGCATAGCCTGGCCCTGATCCAACCCCGACCCGAAGCTGAGCCAAAAGACTCACACTGCGTTCCGTGCTGTTCGAGCTTGAAGTCTTAGAGGGAGGGCTTCAGATCAAGGGGAGCGTCCCGGAGTACGGAGGATTCATGGCTTGAAGGCCTTGAGTTCTTCCGATAGCTGTTGACATTTTTGCATGGGCTCGGTTTAGGGTTTGTAGGGTATAGGAGTTCAGAATCCTGGACGAAACGGAACTGCAGAAGTAGACTCCGGATCGTCCACCGCATGCGAACTCATCTCCGGTCCAGGAACCTTGCAACACGACTGTCCCAAACCACATCCCACGTGCCAAACCACCACAACACCCAGGAGAATAAGAGCCTTCGACTCCAAAACCCCCAGAGTCAAACCCTGAACCCTCGCTGCCCAAGCCTCCCCACGCGCCCCGAATTGCTCAAGCCTCCTTCGCTTCCCAGGATCAAGACGTTGAGGGCATTCTTCGAGCCGGTTCCTTATGGAGTGGTCAGCTGACCCTGGCATGCTGCGATTGGCCCAGTCGAATCGGATCACACTAGCGGTTTGTTGCTTGAGGGCTCTGCAGGTTTTCGGTTTGGGCATTTGCTTCGGCTTGGGGCAGCAACAACCTCCACTGTTTGAGTCCACTGGCATTTACCCCGAACCTTAAACCCTCAGTTCAGGCGTTCCGACCGGCTCTTAGCCTGGGCGTGGACACAAAGGACGGGCATCTCTAATCTCTGATGGTTGGATAATGGGACTATGCCGGCTGTGCTTTTGAGCCCAGCGCTTCAGAGTTTCAAATCGTGAAGGTACTTGCAGAATGCTGGTTCCTGCATGAGTGGTCATGTGACTGGGGACGCCAGCACCATTGCAAGCGCTTCTGTCACCTGATGCAGGAGCTGGATGCTGCGTTCCGCATTGTGAAATTTCAGGTGGCTGTTCATACACACGAGCTGCTCTACGTGAAGGATTTTTTGCGAAGCTCGAAAGCTGTATCTGGGAACAGATTGATCGTACTCTATGTAGGTAAAGTCCGTGAAGCCTTTCCGTGGAGTTTAGGCGTCTGAAAGATATGGTGCTAGATGCATTCCAGCAACTTCCTGCTTATGCCGTACCGTTTTTGTAGCACATGTATGATGGAGGTAAGAAGGAAAGAATTGAGGAAAGCAAGGAGGAGACAGGAGAGAGGGAGAGGACGGAGATGGAGACGGCGAGAGGGAGAGAGGGAGGGAAGGAGGGAGGGAGGGAGGGACCAAGATTTGTTTGGCTGCACAAGTCACGTATATGGGATTCCTGCCTACGAGATCGATGTGTTCGCCATTGAAGGCACACTCTGAGTTTGTCTCCGAAGTGCGAACGATGCGCAGACTCCTGAGCAAATCACATGTGGCTGATGCTTCAGGCCGGCTTCTTTGCAAAGAAGCAAGCCAGCAAATGCACACGAAATACCCTGGATAGAGCTTCGATTGAGTGATGTTCTGAATTCCGTTTTGTGATGAATCTTGGTACAGCATTGAGAAAGCCTTGCACATTCAGTTTCTCGATGAAGCTTCCGCACCCGTCCTGCCAGACTTTGGAGTGAGGGTGGTGTTCTTAGTCCAGCAAACCAAATGCCCCTTGTCCTCAATCAACTTCCAAGCCCCGCGCCATCAAGACGACAGCAACCGCCTGCCATGTGCATGTGGTGGCTTTCACACAATTTTGGGACAGCGGAACCCTAACTCCAGGCACTGTGTCTGCACAAATTCTTGTTGCTGGCGCGTGAGTGCGAGCAATTGGTAGGAAGATGAGAACCGTACTTGAAGTTTTGATGCCCATACAGCACGGGAACTATCATGAACTATCCGTGGCACCCTGTTTGGAGTTCTATCGAACCGGTAGCAGCAGGAAGAGTGCCAGCAAGAGTGCCAACTGCCCAGGCGAGATGTTGTCCGATCTGGCTTCATCCGTTGAAAGCCTGCAGGTGGAGCAGTGGTGTCCCTGAGCCCTACATGGCAGAGCCAGAAGATTGGACCCTCGAGGTTTTTCGGTTTTGTCAGCTGAAGCTTGAGCCTGAAGTTGTGAGAAAGGCTGAGGTCCGCAGAAGCCCCTTCTGAGGCTGTTGCAGCAACTCCACAGGATGTCTGCATGTTGCAATAAAGCCGTCAGATGCCCAAAGCGAAAGGCTTCAGTCTGATTCCAAACTAATTCTGAACTCGTGCTTCCAACATGAGACGCTGCATACTCCATTCTGGTACAGTCGATGCTGAGCGGACGCCTCCAATGGGTTCTTGCAGCACTCAAGCTGCAACCTGTGAAGCCGGAGGTGCAGCTGTTGGAGCAAACCCAGAAGAAGGCCAGGCTGCTTCGGGATCTCGGAGGATATATCTTTCTGGAAGGGGGGTTCGGGTGCCAGTGTGGATGCTTTCCGTTGCGTCTCGTGACTGTGACTAAATGGAAGCTCTGATTCAAGAGTGTGCTGATTAGGTAGAGTACTTGGGCGAGCGCATGGTGGCTCGCACGCCACGCCCTTGGCATTCATCTCCTCTTTCTTCGGTGCTAGATGGTGTGCATTCGACGGCAGTGTAAACAGGCACTGTCGCAGTGTTTGGATCTGTGTAGAGCGGTGATACCTTCTCCTCCCGTGAGCTTGCCACAGCTGCTCGAGGCCTTGCTTTCAGCCACTCTTGTATTTTGAGGATGGACATTCTCAACACCAAAGTTGAAGAAGTGGCAGCCGGTGGCATGGATGCACGATCCAGAGGGAGCTGTCGTTTTGTGTGCTTGGAATCCCGGAAGGCATCCGACCAGAATCTTCACAGAACATGGTGTGCCTGGCTCTTGACTCTTGAGGCACTGCCATCGCTCTGCGAGCCACCCATGCGCCGCAGGCGCCGGACACGTTGCAAGAGTGCCCGGCGTGCTGTGCTTAATAATTAGGGTCAGGTTTTGGGGCCCATTTTACTATATCTATAAGAAGGAACCCCCCAAAAATAGTATAGGTAGGTGATTTAGGCGCCTAGCTTCGGCCACCTCTGTCGGAGGATCCAAACATCGGCTCCCAGGCTGCCGCCCAGGCCGGAAGACTCGAGGGCCGTCTTCGATTCCTCCCGGCCAAAAAAGGCTTTAGGGTTTAGGGTATAGGGTTTAGTGAAGGGTTTAGTATAGGGTATACTTCTCAGCTCGAGTCTTTTACCCCGCCTGTATCCTGAGCACCAGAAGCCCTGCAATTTTTGCAGCCTCCGCCAGTGGGCAGCGACAGGAGCCTGCTGGAGCTCACCATGTCCAGGCCTCGCTGCATGTGCTTGAACTTCGCGTGACTTGTCGAGTGCAACACGAGCCATGCGCTGCAACAAAACCTGTTTGGTGGTTTATGCACTTTGTGACACTTCTGATGCATACTGTAGCCAACCCCTGTCGAAAACAGGCTGTTGGCACCTTCCAGTATAGTGCTGTGTCACAAACTCTGCACGTGGAATGGCATTGCCGAAGTTTTGTCGAAACAGTTAACAGAAGAAGGGTGCTGGACTGGTGTGGTGCAGCATCGCCAGCGATCCAGCTCGAAAGATGGTTAGATCTACGAAAAAAGCAGAAAAGAGGGAAGGTGTTTGGGCAGGTGCACTTGATAATTAGAGTTTAGAAGGCTGGATTAACAGAGCGGTAGACGAAATGGATTTGGACTGTGTGGAGTCTTGGATTTTTCAGTGTGCATCGTGCAACCAGGCAAAGGAGCTACCTTCGCAAAAAGCGAATCGTAAAGCATGTCTCGTTGTTGACGGGATGCCTGGCTTTGCAGTGCATCTCGCTGTGCCCTGCACGCTTCTTGCAGTTCCTCGCACATTGCAGAAGCCAGTGCAATGGGTTCCAACTGCCAGGAGTCAGGTCCCAAGGTGGACCATGCTCTGAAGCCGTCCCTCCGGCAGAAGGCCGCAAGCTCAGTGGCATGCTCGCCTCACCCTGGATCTGACCCCGTGTCCTGAGACGCGTGCAATCACCGCGACGTTCACTTCCAGCCTTTGTTTGCATTCCAATGTCAGCCCTCTTGTGTGCACAGTTCGGCCTCGCGGACTCCAAGTACGACGAGAAGATGGAACTACTGGATCGAGAAGAGGGTGCAGAAGCCAAGTACAAGAAGGCCTTGGAAATCTCCGGAGGACTGGAAAAGCTGAGGAGCTTTCAAGACCTCAGCGGCTTGGCTGCGCTTCTCTTGGCCGACCCTGTCGTAGCGCTGAAGAAGCTTTGGATTGCCCGAACGCCCGCGTCGCGTCCCCCTTAAGTCAGGCAACGAGCTGCAGACGAAGCACGGCCTGCACGAGGAGCAGAAAGGTGTGATTTCTGCCGGGGAGCGCGCCGCACGCAGCATCAAGGCTCTGGCGCGCTGTTGTTGCCGGGACCAGGGCAAGTTGCTTTCATCGGGACGTGGGCCAGGTAAACTTCCAACCCTTCTGCGCCACGCTGGATGAGCTCTTCGACTTTGCGCACGATTACAAGCAACACTTCTTCGACCTGGTTGAAGGGGTTGCGCAGGCCACCAACGGTACCTGCGCAAAGCCCCCACTGAAAGGCAAAGAACGCTGCTCGACTGTGAGAAGTGTCAGAAGTGCGCTCACTGCTGGTTCCCCTGCCCCATATGAGACAAGGCTGTACTTAAGTAATAAATTAAGGATAGGGCTGCAGACTACATCACGCGAAGCTGAGGCTGCGAGTCTAAGGCAAGGTTTAAGTACATGGACAGCGCCGGAAACATCGAGTGGTGCTGCCGGCCTGCTGTGACATCTATATCGTCATCTTGCATTCATGCGGGCCGGGGGGGCGAACCACGCCGGACGCTTGCCAGTCCCTGTTCTCCTCGTGTCCCAAGCCCGTCTGCAAAGGTACAACAAGAATCTACCAGGTACCACCAGCACTGGTGAGTGCAAGGGCTGGGTTTCAAGCGACACCAGAATGCTGCGGTTGTTGCTAGGGCTGAGGACGACGGTGATGCGATGCGACTGAGATCAAGATTTCCAGGGCTGCGACGGCGATGGTGACGACAACGATGTTAACACCACAGCATGTCAGAAAGCCAATTGAGGTCAAAACTGGCCATAGAAACAAAGAGCAAACCTGATTTTGACATCCAAAGCTGCCCTTTGGTAGAAAACTGGTTGGCGGCAAGTTCGTTTTGGAAAATGTAGTTTAGTGGTATCCAGCAGCGGAACAAGACTTGTTGCGTGCACCGTGGGTGAACATGCGTTGTAGAGGTGCCAAAACACACCCGATGCTATCTTCTCTGCAACTAGTTCGCCCAGTCCGTTGAAGCAGAGTGTTCGAAGACGTGGCAGACGACAGTCATGCAGATGCGGGTTCTGATATGTGGAACTATGTTGGGTTTGTGTTCTGGTTGATCCCAGCCAGGCACAGACTTACTGACATCGTTCGAGACACGCTTAGCTACGAGAACTTGGAAGATATGTACGCCGGACTAAAGCTCATCGACGAGGACACGCGGCTTCGTGGTCGTGGGACTGTGCATTTTACGGCTGGCAGGACGAAAGTGTCGAAATCGTGGAGTTCAATGACCGGCGACGAGCCCAGTTTGCTGCGGAAGGTAGCTTCAGATACGGGTTGTGAGCGGGGCTTTGGCTTAGGTATCAGACTCCATTGGATGGTGGATACTGCGACCTCCAGCTTACACTTCGGGTGCGAGGCATCCGTTCCACAGTCAGCGAGTGTTCTTGAACCCAGAGGGTAATGTCAGTGGAATTCGGCAACAAGGGATGTTGTTGTGCCACAGGTGGGTTGGTCTGCGAGCTGCAACTTACCACCAAGTACATGCTCTTTATCAAGGCCGCTGCACTCGGACAGTCGTTGCCCATCCAGATGTGACATTGCCTGGAATTTGTTTGTGCCAGGAGTCGAGTGGACACAGAGTGTTCGAGATCAAGAGACAGCTCATTGCCGATGTAGCTGCCAACAGCGAGTTGGAGTGTCGGAGAACGCTCCACTGGGCTGGAAAGGACGCTCAGGCAATTCTTGTGGCATGTTGCGAACGTACTGCTAATCTTGTGGCCATTGGATTTGTTAGTGTGTTGTTCCTGGGGACATTGCCCTTACCACCACTCTCGCTAGTGCGAAGGCTCCTACTGTCGTTTTCATGGTGAAGCAGAGCGATGCTCGCCAAGCCTTTGGGTGAGGGCTGTTTATCCTGGACAGGCTGTTCTGCAAGAGGACAAGAAGCCTTTGCTCCACAAGGCGGCTGCACAGGGCAACGCCGGCATGGTGCCTCCTGACTCATCTGGCTTCAGGGAGTTGGTGGCGCATTCAGGAAACACGTAGATGCTCTGCTACGAAGGGAGTCTTCGCCCGTTGATCCATACACGTGGAGGTTGCAAAGCTGTGGTAACGCGAGGGCACATGCAGGTCTGTGCTTGTTGAAGCCAGGAACGTTGAAACGCCAATCAACAATGGGAATCTTTCTGGCTCCACTCCTCTTGCTGAGGCAGCTCTTTCTCCAGCACGGGGCGGATGTAAACCTCAGGGAGGAGACCACTGAGCGCACGGCCCTACACGAGGCACCTTTCCCTGGCTCGTGCTGGCCAAGCAACTGAGCTGGACTCGCTGCGGAGTCAGCTCCAGAAACGGTCCCTCGATTTTTTTGCTGTTCCCAGGCCATGGGCCAGGGCCACGCCTGTGCTGCATGGGCCTTGATCTCTGCCGGTGCTCGACAAGACGTCAAGGATGCGCACGGGCAGACGCCCCTCTTGCTCGGAGACCTCTCTGCAAGGATTCTTGAGATCTCATGACGGAATGGTAAACCACCCTGTTGCACTAACGACGAAGCATGCCTTGTGCTGAGAGGTCGAGAGGCGTTTAGACTCCAGCAAGGGTGATGTTTTGTGTTCTTGCTGTACTCGTCAATCTCAAGAGCTCTTCGTGAAGGAGCTTCGTTCATTACCTCACAGGGTGAGCTTGGGGTTCTCAGGGGGGCGTGCGGGGGGGGGGGGGGGGGGGTGGGCCCGAGTTGGTGTTTTGTTCGGCCATCCCCCAATCTGGAGCTGCGCAAAACCCTGTTGCCAAAGGGGCCTGTTTTGGGCCAGATTTCGGTCCTTTTGGGTAAGTGGCTTTTGAGACGTCCAAAAGGAAAAACAAGTCTCCTCTCATGCTGCTGATGCTGGCCTGGGCGTGTCGGCTGATGCTGCTGATGCTGGTCGTATCGTGGCTACGTTATGCGTGTGTCTTTGTTCGTGTGAGCTCCGTGTCGCCAGCCCTGCTCCTGCTAGAGCTTTCGTCCCACCCTGTGGCTCTCAAGTTGTTCCGAACAGAGGGCAAGTCTAAGCCAGTCTAGGCATTCCGTGCCGCTGTATATTCGTCAGAGCGGAGCTGTGAAGTTGGAGAGACCATGCCTCGCAGTGGTTTTATGTCCTGGAAAGCCAGGACGGGTTGCTGCGTTGAGTGTTCCTACTCAGAGATTGCCACACGTGGTTCCACATACCATTCGAGGACTCTTGCGCCAGCGTGTGTACCCCGAGAGCGAGGCCGTGGCAAGGCTGGGCTCGAAGTGCGCTTCAATCCCCCCTGAAGTTCCGATGGTCAGAAGAGATCATTCCCCGCATACTTCCGCCCAAGTCAAAGACTTAGCCCGCTAATAATTGAGTTTCCGCACCAAGAGGTGCGTCTCCATGTTGTCGCAGAGGTTGGGCCTGGAGGACTGGAGTCTCACACGCAAATCACTGAGCAAACTGTTGTATAGATTTAAGGCTTCAGGCCCCATGGTCACAGGAGCTGCGGCGCGCCAGGGAGGAGTTCATTGAGGTGGTGCAGCAGCGGCTGAAGAACAGCTCGGAGCTCGTCAGCGCGTCTGCGGCTCAGTTGCTCCGTAGTCGCCCACTTTGATTCAATTTTTGTCACAAGGGCCAGTTTGTGATCAAGCAAAGTAAGTCGCAGATGCTAAGTCTGCTAAGTGATGTTCTCGCCGTCGGAAGCTGAGGGCCTACGACGACAATGTGCAGAAGGTCGTCGAGCACTTGCGCACCTGGGCGAACCCGAACAGCGCCACGAACGACGGGAAGCACGCGCTCCACCGGGCGCTGGCTCAAGGCCACACGGCCGTGGCCAGGCAGCTCCTGGCCTACAAGGCCGAGATCTTGGAAAAGTGTGAGAAACCTGGTCCAGTGCCTCATTCAGCGGTCCTTATCAAAAGGATCCTATTCGTTCGGGTTCTGGTCCCAACCCTACGAGGCCGACGTCCGGTTGGAGGAGAACGGCAAGACCGCCTTGGACGTCGCCTTAGAAGTTGGGGTGGAGAAGCCCGGGTCTCTACAGCTCTTGGTCCACCTGCACGAGCAGTACAAGGCCAGGGCTCAGTTGTCAGGTTTGGGAAGCTCGCCTCTTGCTCTCTCTCTGCCTCCTTACTCCCAGAGCTAGTACGTCATGCGTCTTTAGACGGTCATCGGGCCGAGTGAAGACGCTCTCGTTCGATTCGACCGTCATGGCAATGGCCGCATAAGTCGCTCTTTGCTGCAGGACTTCAAAGACGGTGCTGGTCACGGCCCGAGCTTGAATGGTCTGCACGCCAGATCCCGAATGCGAAGCCTGGAGGGCAAGTGGACGGCTTTCAGGACGCTTTCAAGTCCTTCCTGTGACCCTTCAACAACCGTTGCCCTGGCCGTGCATTCCCGGCCTTGACATCCCTCGATTCGTTGCGAGTGCGACATCTATCGGCAATGGCCGGTGTTTCTGCCGCAGTCCCTCCGAATCCTTCGCCGCTTCCCTCGTTTTCGGCTTTGCCGTCTGACCTACTATGCAGCTATGCAAGCCCCCATCCCGATCGCATGCTTGGGTCCACCGGTGAAAGAAAGGAGCCGTCGGGACTGCTGAAGAACTGAGACGTGCCAACAGCAATTCCCAAATCAAACCACGTTGACTTTGGCATTCGCGCAAACGCTCAATGAGGGCACGGTTGACGCAAACCAGATTTTGCGCAGACGAATGTGTGAACATTTTTCTTAAGCATCCAAGCTCGAAAGTCTTGGCCTTGCCAGCGAAGCCAACCGGATGCCCTCGCTTTCAACCGAAAGCGCGCATGAGCTGTGATTCACGGTGGATCATGGTTTGGCCAGGCTCCATTGGCCGTGACGTCCCGTTCACCGCAAGCAAGAGAGTCACACAAATTTGAGACGGGACGTTTGCATCGTTTCCGCTTGCATTCTCTGAGCCTGAGGCTTGACGTTCCTGATGTTGGCGGTGAAGCATGGTAATGCGGACCACACCAAGCAGATTCTGGACAAAGGCATGGAGAAGGCAAGTTTTGCAGATGGCCGAGGGCCTCGTTCGCACCGGATCCGTACCATCTCTCTGCAACGCACTGCAACCAGGATGCCAGATGCAACGATGGCCACGGCCCTGCAGGGATCCGGGATAAGGGAAGTCTCCTCGTTTATGCGTCTGGGAGGGCATATTCGTAAACGTGCGGCTATGTGCTTCATTTGGGCAAAGGTTCACGAGGGTTGCCGGCATCAGCCAAGAGTTGATTCGGCATTTTGAGTCGAAGCGGACCCCTCAGAGCCCAAGGCAGCACGGCTTTGATGCTCGCGGCCAGGGAGGGTAAGACGGGGTCCCTCAGAGAGCTCCTGGATGCGGAAGCCGAGAAGGCTCCAGATCCGCAGGCTCGTGCCGTGAAGCAGAGCAGCCTCGCAATCCGTCGCACAGGACTGCCAAAACAACGAGGGCCGGGGCCTTCGTGCCGTGCTGCAGCGCTAGTCTGTCACAACAACTACTGGTAGTACAGCTCAAGGGAGGAATGCTGCCGGAAAGCCCATTGCATTGCCAGGCCACACTGCACTGATGCTCGCCATGCATGGTGGCCATGAGGAATGCTTCAAGCTGCTCCTTGACAGGGGCACGAAGAGGGTGACCTGGCACAGATGGAGATGGTAAGAGCAAGTCGATGAGGAAACTTTCTGTAGGTGTTCAGGAGGGTTTGGCAGCCAAAAGCATCGCTCTCGTCCATCCGATGTCTCACGGCCTGCCCAGGGCCTGAAGAACAATGCTGGCCGGGGCCTCGACACGGTGATTCCGATCGGCGTCTCCATCTCAGAGCCTGTCAAACCGTGAAGCTTTGCAGTGCGATAACTAGAGCGACAGTGGGATGTCGTGTTTGTCGGAGGCAAGACGGTCTTTGAGCAATCCGCCGAGTACGTGAAAATCCGGGCATTTCTGCGCCGGAGCCTTGCTGGAGTGGTGCTGACAAGTGGCATTTGCCATCTACAGTAGCTTGGGATTGTGCTGTAGGTTGAATGCCTTCAGCTATCATTCACATCGACCCAGGTGCTGAGCACAAGTAGGCGAGTGCGCATGCTGCATCGGGGGCCTTGTTCTCCCATTTACCTCGTACTACTGTGTGCACTGTGCCACGTACATGAGTACAGCCTTATGCTGGAAACTCGAACCGGCCACAGAGGGTCCACATTATCAGTGGATGAGTCGCGTCGTGCAAATGAACGATCGCATCAGTGGCTTCAGTGCACTGCTTCACGGGGGCTTCTGTGAGGTCCGACAGCCCTCATGGAGGCGGCAAGGGACGGCCGCGCTGCGCTCGTCAAAGAGCTCTTGGAGAAGGGAGCCGAGAAGGTGAGGGAGATGGAGGGAGCGTCCTCAGGGCTGTAGGAACAGCACCTGCACGGGAGTTGCGGGGTTGTAACGAATGAGATGAACAATCCCATTCGGTCGTCGCTCACCACCAACTTTACAGAATCTGGTAGTCAAAGCTGCAATCATCTTGACTCCAAGGTTCTTTACTTTCTAGTGGCATCGTTCCTGACAGCGATATGGATACCCGTCGTGCATCCACCACCCTACAGGTTTTACTGGCTGAAAGATGTAGAACGCCCCGGCCGAATCTCCACCTAGGATATCCAGGACAAGGACGGTCACGGCCTCGGTCGGCCAAAGGTTGGGATGCTTTGGATGAGGCAAGACGCTGCCAGCTGCCAGAGAGCGCTGAAGAGCCTTGCAATCTTTTTCTAAAGAACTGTCGACCCCTATCAGGTGCCCCATTCCATGCCACGTTTGAGGCTGCACGGCTCTGATGTTCGCAGCTGGCTCCGGCCAGACGGACTGCGTGAAGGAGCTCTTGGATAGAGGCGTGGAGAAGGCGGGAGAAGCCACGCCAAAGCTGGAACTTGTAATTTGAGGGAAGCGCAGAACCAAGCACATCCGTTTGGGTCCAGCGAGGGTATTTGGTTTGTTTCAGTCCTTCTGGGCGTGAGCAAGGCAAATGCCAAGGTAGCGTGTACTGAAGCTCCTCAGTAGATGTGGCACATGTGTTGGTGACATCAGCATTGGTTGGTGGGTTGGCTGCTGCTTGGCTACTTGACCTTGGTGGGGCGACCCTCTTTGCTGTGCTGGGCTGTGGGCTGTTCGAGTTCCTTGGGTCTATAGGTCTCCAATGAATCGTTTGAAGGTCGGGAAGGGAACGTGTCAGAAGTCTCCAAGGTTTCCGCTTAGGGCTTGGATAGTTTCATCCTTCGACGGCCTTCAGCACACAGCTGCAATCGTGCGGGATGCCTGCACAGGAGGCCAAGGACAACAACGGCCGCAGCCTCGGGTGGCTTTGGCGGAGACGACGGCCTTCGTCTCACACCGATGCTGCAGTCAAGCCAAGCCTGCTTCAGCAGCAGCGAATAGAATCTGGACTGCACCTTTGCACATCAGCGTCAAAGGCCACCCCGCACGCCTGCCGAGAGGGTTTGCAGTCGCGATGAGCAAAAATTCAGGAGGCCTGCAGCGGTTCGATATTTATGGGATTGAAGGGTTGAGGGTGGTTCACAAGGTTCTGCGGTGACTGGCAACGTCACGCCAATAGCACCATAGGACTGAGCACACTAGTAGCATGAGTATCGTCAACTTTAACCCCAGTAGCGGCAACAACAAGAACAACCACCACAGCAGCAGCATCCGTTCGACGGATGGAGCTGAAGCCCTTTGAGAAGTGCGAGTTTGAGGCTGGACCCCCCTCATGTGCGCCGCCGCCAATAACCACACGGAGATCGTCAGAGAGCTGCTAGGGAAGGGAGCGGAGAAGGCGGGAGGGCAGTTCCTCTGTTACACGGCTGAGTCACACCCAGGTCTCGGGCTGCCCCCAGATGTAGATCTGAGAAGGGCTGAGCTTTGCAACCTTTGGGGCATCCCATCAATTTTCCGGCTGCTTGGTACGGGCCGGTCTGACAAAGACGGTTCTCTGCCAGCCCTCTGCCGCCAGGATGCCAGAAGCGAGGATGGTCCGGGCCTTGCCGTGACGAGCCGCAAAGACAGTCTAAGTGCAGGAAGGGCCAGAAGCTTGACTTGAGCAAACATCGAGGGCTGCTCGGAGCCCAAGGCAGCACGGGGCTGATGCTCGCAGCCAAAGAGGGCAAGACGGCGTCTCTCAAAGAGCTCCTGGATGGGGACGCCGACAAGGCTCGAGACTTGCAGGATCGTGCCGTGGCGCAGAGCGGCCTTGCAATTCGTGGCGCAGGACTGCCAGAACAAGGAGGGCGGGGGCCTTGGTGCTATGCGGCAGCACGGTCTGTCCCAGTCGGTCAGCTCAAGAGATGAATCCTTCCGGAAAGCCCGTCGCATCGCCAGGTCACACTGCGCTGATGCTCGCCATGCACGGTGGCCATGAGGAGTGCTTCAATCTGCTCCTTGACAGGGGCGCGAAGAGAGTGGCCTGGCACAGATGGAGATGGCACTCAAACCGAAGGTAGCCTATGTATGTAGGTCTGAGAGCGTCGCATTTCCTCCACCCAGTGACGCGTGCCCCAGGGCCTGAAGAACAACGCCGGCCGGGGCCTTGACACGGTGATTCCGATCCGGCGTCCCCATCTCAAAGCTGTCAAAGCGTGAAAATTCGCAGCGAGCCCTTTGAAGGCACTCCTCTCCAACCAGCTTTTCCTAGCGATAACCTGAGCGACAGTGGGATGTCGTGTTTGTCGCAGGCAAGACGGTCTTTGAGCAATCCGCCGAGTACGTGAAAATCAGGGCATTTCTGGGCCGGAGCCTTGCCTTTGAGTCATTTGAGCAGCGTTTTGTTTTGCCCGCTACGCAAGATTACAGCTGGACACAAAACTTTCACTTGATCTGAAAATCGCTCTGGGACTGTGCGGAAGGACGCGGAAGGGCTGCGGAAGGCGTTGCTCCGCGGAAGGGCGCGGAAGCAACAAATACGTCAAGAGGGGTTGCACTTGCCGAAAGTCACGGTAATGCGTCAAGAGGGGTTTATGCTCTTGTGGAAGGGTTCGCTTGCGAAGTGGTGCGCGGAAGGGCACGCGGAAGGGACGACGTGCAGTGACGCAGAAAAGTGCCAACGCTTCGAGGCGCGGAAGGCTGCGGAAGCAGTGGCGGAAGGGTTGTGCGGAAGGGGTTTTTGCGTCCTTAGGATTGAAACAGAATAAAACACACCGCTCATTTGCTGTCAAGTGGCATCTGCCATCTAGGTTGGTAGTTGGCTTCCGGTTGAATGCTTCAACCTATCACTAACATCACACCCAAGCAGCCGTGCACAAGTAGGCGATTGTGCTACTGCATGTACAGTTGTGCCACGTACAGTACAGCATTGTGTTGGTAACTCGATTCCACAGATGTGGGAAAGGCCGCTGCAACGTTCTGTCGTGAGGTGGCCACTAAGGGTCCACATCATCCGTCGGATTCGTCGCGTTGTGCAGGTAGCGGCGGGCATGCACGATCGCATCAGTGGGGCTTCTGTGAGGTCCGACAGCCCTCATGGAGGCGGCACGGGACGGCCATGTCGAGCTTGTCAAAGAGCTCTTGGAGAAGGGAGTCGAGAAGGTGGGGGAGCCGAAGGGCACGGGAGTTGTTGGGTTTGTCTGGCATCCGCAGTGTCCACTGTGTGGACTCTCAGCATTCCCAAAGGATGGGCGCAATGCTGTTGATAGTGGTGGCACTGCAGAAAGACTTTGTAGTGCATGGCCACATCGCACGGACTGCTGAGCTCGCGCGTCGTACAAGCTGCACAAGACATGTTAATGTTGGCAACCCTGGTGTTGCGAAAAAGGTTTGAAATGTTGCTAGCAGGCTTCTTAAGAAGGCAATGATTTGCAAGTTCGTCACGGAAGCTCATCGCACCCTCGCAATGAAGCTATCTGGGTGGGTCCCTCTTGGCCCTTGGGGGTTAGGATGTCACGGACAGATTCGGCCATGGCCTCGGCAAGAGATTGGCTCGTCGGCATTTGGGCGCTGTTTCTTCCTTGCAGCAAGGCAACACCGCCCTGATGCATGCAGCACGGAATGGTCAAACAGACTGTTTGGCAGTCCTCTTGGCTGCCGAGGCGGACCAGGCGGGAGAGAGCGGGAGAGCGAGAGAGAGAGAGAGAGAGAGGGACCGAGACATAGACCAGAGTACGTGCGCCTCTGTTTTTGCATGTTTTTTTGATGTTGGGTCGGTGTGTTTGTGTTCATTGGTGCGATTGATGCAGCATTGCCTTAGCGAATGGGGTCTGTGCGTGCTTTGCTTCATCTTCAATCTGCTTCGGGTACTGTAGTACTGCGCGCGACAATCATGCCTCGTGCTTTTTTGCTTAGATACGTTCAGTTCGCAGTTCGGGCAGGACACGAAGAACAAGAATGGCTGGGGGCCTTAATCTTTCGGAGTGGAGCAGCTGCTGAAGATTAGGCGACTGGCATCCAGCCGAGTTGGAACCTCCTTCGTCCCTGGCAAGGCTTCACTGCCTACATGCAGGCAGCAGCAAAGGGCCATACCGAGTGCGCAGAGCGCCTGACGAGGGAGGGAGCCAACCAGGCGAGCCGACTCGGTGTCGAATGTTTGGCTGCTTCCAGGCCTAGAGTCTTGAGAGCACAACAATGGGGCATGCAGATCTTGTCAGGAAGAAGTGAATGAGGAGGGTGCTGGGCTTGGACCCGTTTTGAGCATCCGCCGCATCCGCACTTTCGCAACTGCTGAGCGATTCTTGTTCACTTGGTCGCGAAACCGGAAACAGCCAAGGTGACCAGGCGCTGTTCAGAGCAGCAGCAGGTGGCCAGCTCGAGTTGCTCCAAGAGCTGCTGGCCGCGGGGGCGAAGAAGGCACGTGCAGCGAAACAGATGCAATACTGCTATCAATCGCTGTCTGTGACATCTGCATACTCGCATCCTTGTACTCGATGATGTCGTCAAGTTCTTCACAAAGTGCGAACTGGCCACGCGTTGGCTACTTGCGGCCGTATATGTCCTTGACACTGCTGCAGCAAGTTAGCGAAACGCATCACTCCGAAGCCTTCCTGCCTGTTCTGGCAGAGCTGCGTCTGCCTGAAGAGCGTGTTGTTGCAGCATGTCGGTTGCGGCAGGGACAGTTGCGATTCCTGCATAGCTGCTGGAAGAGCGTGTTGCATGACAGGCGCTTACTCATGCTGTCTGCATTGCGTCGTCCGCCTCAAAAACAAATCGGGCACGGCCGGAGAGTCAGAAGCCAGCAAATGCGGAAATGCGAAATCCAGTGGAGGACATGACAGTGCCCCTCTTGGGGGCATTCAAGGGGGTTGCTGGGAAGGGAACTCACAGGAAGGGAAGCAGAGGCTCTGTGTGGGAAGTGGGAACCTCTGATCGCTTCGGACATGGCCCCGGCGGAATATTGTCTAAGTGACTTTGTGGCATGTCAAAGAGGGGTCACGTATATGCAAGAGGCATTCTTCGGTCCGTGCCCGCTGTCAGATGCTGAAGTTGCCCATGTCCCCAACAACTTGGAGTTGGCGGTTGTGCCTTATAAGGCTTTCCAGGAAAGACTTCTGGCCCAAGGCTACTGCAAGGCCACCTAACTACTTTTCCAGCAGGGCAAGCCGCCAGGGGCGTAGAGCACCCGAGGTCTTCTTTAATGAGTGAGGAGAAATCCTTTGGTCTAGGTCGGGCAAAGGCCACTGTGTGTGCTCAGGGCCGGGATAGTTTCATCATTCGGCGGCCTCTACAGCGCAAAGCTCGGCAACCCTGCACAGGATGCCAATGACGATTTCGGCCGCAGCCTCGGATGGCCTTGACGCTTCGGGGCCGCGGCCTTCGCCTCACAGGACAGATTCGGCCATGGCTTTGGCAAGAGATTGGCTCGTCGGCATTTGGGCGCTGTTTCTTCCTTGCAGCAAGGCAATACCGCCCTGATGCATGCAGCACGGAATGGTGAAGCAGACTGTTTGACCGTCCTCTTGGTTGCCGAGGTGGACAAGGCGAGAGCGAGAGCGAGAGCGAGAGCGAGAGAGAGAGAGAGAGAGAGAGACGGAGAGATAGACCGAGAGTTTGTGCGCCTCTATTTTTGCATGTTTTTGTTTTTGGGCGGGTGTGTGTTGTGTTCATTGGTTGGACTGATGCAGCATTGCCTTAGACGGTGTGTACGTGCTTTGCTTCATCTTCGATATGCTGCTGGTAGTACTGTTCACGACAATCATGCCTCGTTCAGTTCGCAGTTCGGGCAGGACACGAAGAACAAGAATGGCTGGGGGCCTTAATCTTTCGGAGTGGAGCAGCTGCTGAAGATTAGGCGACTGGCATCCAGCCGAGTTGGAACCTCCTTCGTCCCTGGCAAGGCTTCACTGCCTACATGCAGGCAGCAGCAAACGGCCATACCGAGTGCGCAGAGCGCCTGACGAGGGAGGGAGCCAACCAGGCGAGCCGACTCGGTGTCGAATGTTTGGCTGCTTCCAGGCCTAGAGTCTTGAGAGCACAACAATGGGGCATGCAGATCTTGTCAGGAAGAAGTGAATGAGGAGGGTGCTGGGCTTGGACCCGTTTTGAGCATCCGCCGCATCCGCACTTTCGCAACTGCTGAGCGATTCTTGTTCACTTGGTCGCGAAACCGGAAACAGCCAAGGTGACCAGGCGCTGCTCAGAGCAGCAGCAGGTGGCCAGCTCGAGTTGCTCCAAGAGCTGCTGGCCGCGGGGGCGAAGAAGGCACGTGCAGCGAAACAGATGCAATACTGCTATCAATCGCTGTCTGTGACATCTGCATACTCGCATCCTTGTACTCGATGATGTCGTCAAGTTCTTCACAAAGTGCGAACTGGCCACGCGTCGGCTACTTGCGGCCGTATATGTCCTTGACACTGCTGCAGCAAGTTAGCGAAACGCATCACTCCGAAGCCTTCCTGCCTGTTCTGGCAGAGCTGCGTCTGCCTGAAGAGCGTGTTGTTGCAGCATGTCGGTTGCGGCAGGGACAGTTGCGATTCCTGCATAGCTGCTTGAAGAGCGTGTTGCATGACAGGCGCTTACTCATGCTGTCTGCATTGCGTCGTCCGCCTCGGCCCGTCGGGCACGGCCGGAGAGTCAGAAGCCAGCAAATGCGGAAATGCGAAATCCAGTGGAGGACATGACAGTGCCCCTCTTGGGGGCATTCAAGGGGGTTGCTGGGAAGGGAACTCACAGGAAGGGAAGCAGAGGCTCTGTGTGGGAAGTGGGAACCTCTGATCGCTTCGGACATGGCCCCGGCGGAATATTGTCTAAGTGACTTTGTGGCATGTCAAAGAGGGGTCACGTATATGCAAGAGGCATTCTTCGGTCCGTGCCCGCTGTCAGATGCTGAAGTTGCCCATGTCCCCAACAACTTGGAGTTGGCGGTTGTGCCTTGTAAGGCTTTCCAGGAAAGACTTCTGGTCCAAGGCTACTGCAAGGCCACCTAACTACTTTCCAGCAGGGCAAGCCGCCAGGGGCGTAGAGCACCCGAGGTCTTTTTTAATGAGTGAGGAGAAATCCTTTGGTCTAGGTCGGGCAAAGGCCACTGTGTGTGCTCAGGGCCGGGATAGTTTCATCATTCGGCGGCCTCTACAGCGCAAAGCTCGGCAACCCTGCACAGGATGCCAATGACGATTTCGGCCGCAGCCTCGGATGGCCTTGACGCTTCGGGGCCGCGGCCTTCGCCTCACAGGACAGATTCGGCCATGGCTTTGGCAAGAGATTGGCTCGTCGGCATTTGGGCGCTGTTTCTTCCTTGCAGCAAGGCAATACCGCCCTGATGCATGCAGCACGGAATGGTGAAGCAGACTGTTTGACCGTCCTCTTGGTTGCCGAGGTGGACAAGGCGAGAGAGAGAGAGAGAGAGAGACAGAGAGAGAGAGACGGAGAGATAGACCGAGAGTTTGTGCGCCTCTATTTTTGCATGTTTTTGTTTTTGGGCGGGTGTGTGTTGTGTTCATTGGTTGGACTGATGCAGCATTGCCTTAGACGGTGTGTACGTGCTTTGCTTCATCTTCGATATGCTGCTGGTAGTACTGTGCACGACAATCATGCCTCGTTCAGTTCGCAGTTCGGGCAGGACACGAAGAACAAGAATGGCTGGGGGCCTTAATCTTTCGGAGTGGAGCAGCTGCTGAAGATTAGGCGACTGGCATCCAGCCGAGTTGGAACCTCCTTCGTCCCTGGCAAGGCTTCACTGCCTACATGCAGGCAGCAGCAAAGGGCCATACCGAGTGCGCAGAGCGCCTGACGAGGGAGGGAGCCAACCAGGCGAGCCGACTCGGTGTCGAATGTTTGGCTGCTTCCAGGCCTAGAGTCTTGAGAGCAAAACAATGGGGCATGCAGATCTTGTCAGGAAGAAGTGAATCAGGAGGGTGCTGGGCTTGGACCCGTTTTGAGCATCCGCCGCATCCGCACTTTCGCAGCTGCTGAGCGATTCTTGTTCACTTGGTCGCGAAACCGGAAACAGCCAAGGTGACCAGGCGCTGCTCAAAGCAGCAGCAGGTGGCCAGCTCGAGTTGCTCCAAGAGCTGCTGGCCGCGGGGGCGAAGAAGGCACGTGCAGCGAAACAGATGCAATACTGCTATCAATCGCTGTCTGTGACATCGGCATGCTCGCATCCTTGTACTCGATGATGTTGTCAAGTTCTTCACACATTGTTTGCTGTTGCAGGGGGCTGTTTGTGATTCCTGCATAGCTGCTTGAGGAGCGTGTTGCATGACAGGCGCTTACTCATGCTGTCTGCATTGCGTCGTCCGCCTCAAAAACAAATCGGACACGGCCGGAGAGTCAGAAGCCAGCAAATGCGGAAATGCGTAATCCAGTGGAGGACATGACAGTGCCCCTCTTGGGGGCATTCAAGGGGGTTGCTGGTAAGGGAACTCACAGGAAGGGAAGCAGAGGCTCTGTGTGGGAAGTGGGAACCTCTGATCGCTTCGGACATGGCCCCGGCGGAATATTGTCTAAGTGACTTTGTGGCGTGTCAAAGGGGGGTCACGTATATGCAAGAGGCATTCTTCGGTCCGTGCCCGCTGTCAGATGCTGAAGTTGCCCATGTCCCCAACAACTTGGAGTTGGCGGTTGTGCCTTATAAGGCTTTCCAGGAAAGACTTCTGGCCCAAGGCTACTGCAAGGCCACCTAACTACTTTTCCAGCAGGGCAAGCCGCCAGGGGCGTAGAGCACCCGAGGTCTTCTTTAATGAGTGAGGAGAAATCCTTTGGTCTAGGTCGGGCAAAGGCCACTGTGTGTGCTCAGGGCCGGGATAGTTTCATCATTCGGCGGCCTCTACAGCGCAAAGCTCGGCAACCCTGCACAGGATGCCAATGACGATTTCGGCCGCAGCCTCGGATGGCCTTGACGCTTCGGGGCCGCGGCCTTCGCCTCACAGGACAGATTCGGCCATGGCTTTGGCAAGAGATTGGCTCGTCGGCATTTGGGCGCTGTTTCTTCCTTGCAGCAAGGCAATACCGCCCTGATGCATGCAGCACGGAATGGTGAAGCAGACTGTTTGACCGTCCTCTTGGTTGCCGAGGTGGACAAGGCGAGAGAGAGAGAGAGAGAGAGAGAGAGAGACAGAGAGAGAGAGACGGAGAGATAGACCGAGAGTTTGTGCGCCTCTATTTTTGCATGTTTTTGTTTTTGGGCGGGTGTGTGTTGTGTTCATTGGTTTGGCTGATGAAGCATTGCTTTAGAGAATGGTGTGTACGTGCTTTGCTTCATCTTCGATATGCTGCTGGTAGTACTGTGCACGACAATCATGCCTCGTTCAGTTCGCAGTTCGGGCAGGACACGAAGAACAAGAATGGCTGGGGGCCTTAATCTTTCGGAGTGGAGCAGCTGCTGAAGATTAGGCGACTGGCATCCAGCCGAGTTGGAACCTCCTTCGTCCCTGGCAAGGCTTCACTGCCTACATGCAGGCAGCAGCAAAGGGCCATACCGAGTGCGCAGAGCGCCTGACGAGGGAGGGAGCCAACCAGGCGAGCCGACTCGGTGTCGAATGTTTGGCTGCTTCCAGGCCTAGAGTCTTGAGAGCACAACAATGGGGCATGCAGATCTTGTCAGGAAGAAGTGAATGAGGAGGGTGCTGGGCTTGGACCCGTTTTGAGCATCCGCCGCATCCGCACTTTCGCAACTGCTGAGCGATTCTTGTTCACTTGGTCGCGAAACCGGAAACAGCCAAGGTGACCAGGCGCTGCTCAGAGCAGCAGCGGGTGGCCAGCTCGAGTTGCTCCAAGAGATGCTGGCCGCGGGGGCGAAGAAGGCACGTGCAGCGAAACAGATGCAATACTGCTATCTATCGCTGTTGCTCACATCGGCATACTCGCATCCTTGTGCTCGATGGTGTTGTCAATTTCTTCACACATTGTTTGCTGTTGCAGGGGGTAGTTCGTGATTCCTGCATAGCTGCTTGAAAAGCGGATTGCACGACAGGGGCGTATACTCATGCTGTCAGCAAGCATTTTCTAAAGGCTTCGCGTCGTCTGCCTCGGCCGGACCGGACAGGCAGAAACAGGAAGGAGATGGCCAGGAGGGGTGTGCGGGGGGAAACAGAAGCCAGCAAGTACGAAAGCGCAAGATCTAGTGGAGGACATGACGGTGCCCTAGTTTGGCCGGTCAATTGGGTTGCCGGGAAGGGTTTCAGAGAAGGGAATCAGAGCTTCAGACGCAACATCTGACTGCTTCGGCCACGGCCGAGGCGCGTATCATCGGACTGACTGTGTGGCACGTCGACGAAGGGTCACGTATATGCAAGAGGCATTCGTCGGTCTGTGCCCGCTTTGACGCAGATGTTGATGTCGTGCATGTCCTGGCCTGCAGCAACTTCGAGTTGGCCTGAAACGAATGCTGCCTTGTAGGGCTTTCACAAGACAAGAATTCTACTTGCTTGCCCAAGGCCATTGAAGCCTCCTGACCTGTCCAGTAAGGCAAGCTCTGCGAAAAGCACCTGTCGTAGGTTCAAAGGAGGTACGTTCGCAAATGTGCTTGGAGCAACCCTTCGGAAGCGAAGTTCGGCGACGCGGCGGCGCCAGAGCTTTAACTTGTAATTGGAGGGAATCGCAGAACCGAGCACATCCGTTGGGGTCAGCTTATATTTTACAGAACAGATGCTTATGTTCCTCCGTTGGTGTTGTGTTTGTGTTTTTCATGTTTTCGTGTTCGTGTGCCTTGGTTGATGCAGCATTGACCTTCACTTTGCAAATGGGTTCAATATGTTTTGCTTCCTCTCCGGCATGCCGCTGGCAGCACTTGCGCGGGCGCGAACAACGCAAGCGCCCAAGTGTCGTGAAATCGTGTGAAATCCTGGAAGTAGATGCAACACGCTGTTGCCGACATCAGCACGGGCCCGGGTGAATTGGCCGCTGAAAGACCTGACTCGCTTCCAAAGTTCTTGACACGCTGTCATGCTGTGGGAGAGGTGTGCTGTTCCTGAGTGTTTGCTCGGAGAAGACAAGTGGACTTCGGTTAGCAATCCTTCAGCAGTGATCTACGAGGGCAGGATCGGCTGATGATGAACATAATGCATCGTTCCGGAGTGCAGCGATATGCGACGCGATCCCAGCGCATGCTCGCCGCAATCATACCTTGGAACCAGGAGGCCCGTGACAGACTCGGCCGGCGCCCTGGTAACAAGGTGTTCAGCTGGCTTAACGATGGTCCATCGCGGTGCCATGTGCGCGCTGGCATCGGCTCAGTGTTCTGTGCCAAGGCAACACCGCTCTGATGCTCGCTGCACGACATGGCCATGTTGACTTGCTGGGCGCACTGCTGGCCGCAGGCGCAGAAAAGGCCGGGCTGTTGTAGCAAAACACTGAAAGAGTCGGGCCTTCAGTCATTTGATCATGTTGAGTCATATCGATCCTGCAAGCAGAAGAATGGGACATGTTTTCGGACATCTTACAGTATGGTGTACAGGTTTGCTCTGCGGAATGACTCAGCGCGAAGACATCGCCAGGATGCAAAGAGCAAGTACGGTGAGGGCCTTGGTGTTTGAGTGAACAGTCATGTCATCGCCCTTAAGGCATACTGCAACATCGCGACTCTGTGTCAAGGATCAAGACTCTCCTCAGATTTCTAGCCATTGTAGCTGCGGTAGTTCGTCGTCCATGGTCAGAAGATGTCCCGTGATTCCTGTCCAGGCATGTCGTTTCCGACCATCTCGCATTTCTGAAGGGGATGCTCATAGGCAACAGTGGAGTGGAGTTTCTTTCGGGTTCGGTGTATTGAAGTCTCATTTGCAAGACCGCTTTGGCTGGCAGCTCGCAGTGTCGCGAGTGCAGAAACAATACCGTCTGTACGGTTGCCGGTAGCGGTTCTGCTTTCATGAGAGCGCAGCACGAAGACAACGGGGGTTGTCAGTCGCCCGTACTGAGGCTACACAGCTCTCATGCATGCCGCTGGCAATGGCCACGAAAAGTGTATGAAGCTCTTGCAGGACCCAGGAGTGAGCGAGGCGGGCAATCGCCTGTCAGCAGCGGGAGACGCAAACAGCTCGACTTTCGCGCATGGTGACAGGTAACACTCAACCGGGAAGGCGAGCGCCTCGGTGCTTTAAGCCTTGAACGGACTCATTGCCCCGGTGCTGGAAGTGTCGTGGATCCAGCCTACATCGGCATGACACGGCAAAAACCGTCGCCGAGGTGACGCGCAACTGCTCCAAGCTGCGCAGGATGGCAATGCCGCACTCCTCATCGATATTCTGGCTGCAGGGGGGAACAAGGTGGGAAAGCAGTGCGAAAGCATCGATTTGCATGAAATGCTTTGCCAAGATTTGCTCCGTACAGATCATGCTCAAGATTTCAACTTCGTCATAGCAAGTTGCTGATTCGGCAATCCCTATCCTCTGGCCTTCAAAAGTGAGGTTAATGCCGGGTCCTTATCTGAGACCGGGCTTTGAGATCTGAGGCTGGGGTTGTACGGTAGCTTTTTGGACGGGTTCGAGGCTGCTGCTGGGGTTGCATTTCTTGTCTTGAGGAGGTCTCATGCTGGGAGGTGTTCGATGTTCAGGTTTTCGTTGTTAAGGTCTTCATGTGAATTAGGAGGGTCCATCCTCACTTTCGCAGGGGACCCTCGAAGATTTGACAAGGTTGTTGTTAAACGGCTCAGGATAGGGTTTCAAGGGTTATCGACTTGGCTTTGTTCGGGTTGTTTTAGTTGATGAGGAAACTTTAGGTTTTCCGGATGAATCGTTTGAAAGCCGGGCATGTGTCGCGCAGTTCGCGAGCTCCGGGCTTGGATAATTTCATCCCTCAGCGGCCTTCAGCACAAAGCTGCAACCGCGCGGCATCCCTGCACAGGAAGCCAAGGACGAATTATACAGCCGCAGCCTCGGGTCGGGGCAGCGGCCTTCGCCTCACGGCGAGACGCAGTCAAAGTCAAAACCCCCTTCGGAGCAAACATTGTGACAGCAGCTTCAATTGTCCCTGTTTCAGACGGTCTGTCGACGATGATGATTCCGAAACCGAGGTTGGACAGCCCTCATTGTAGCGGCAATGTGGGGCCGCCTCGACGTCGTGAAGGAGCTCCTGGCCATGGGCGCCGACAAGGATAGTGCGCGCCACTGCGGCCTGCGGGAACATAAGCCAGCACCCACCCCCCCTTCTCTTCTTCGAGAGGGGGGGCCATCCCCTCGCCCTTTTATAGAGGATTCGAGCCATTTCCCGTGCACAGACGATTCGTCGCGCTTCTCTGGCGAGAAAACAATCGGTCCGAGTTTTCCTGCAGGGATAGTGACCACAGAGTTTGTGGAACTACTGTACGCTTGCAGCCACTACGTCGACAATACGCTCGGTGAGGTGAGCACGCATATACGACATCATCGATACAAAACCCTCACGCAATATTGACAGTAATAGTAATAAGTAATACAAGTAGCAATAGTAATAGTACTACAAATAGTAGTAATAATAGTGATGGTGATAGTGATAGTGATAGTAGCAGTAGTAGTGATGGTCATAGTCATAGTGATAGTGATAGTCGTAGTCATAGTCGTAGTAATAGTAATAGTAATAGTCGTAGTAACATAATACTATAGTAATAGAGTAATAGAGTAATACAGTAATATAGTAACATAGTAATATAGTCATGTAGTCATATTATAGTTATATACGAGTATAGTATTAAAAGTAATATAGTAATAAAGCAATATAGCAATATAGTAATAGCAATAGTAATAGTAATGGTAATGGTAATGGTAATTGTAATGGTAATAGTAATAGTAATAGTCATGGTAATGGTAGTAGTACAAGTAAGCGTAATAGCAATAGTAATAGTAATAGTAATAGTAATAGTAATAGTAATAGTAATAGTAATAGTAATAGTAATAGTAATAGTAATAGTAGTAGTAATAGTAATAGTAATAGTAATAGTAATAGTAATAGTAATAGTAATAGTAATAGTAATAGTAATAGTAATAGTAATAGTAATAGTAATAGTAATAGTAATAGTAATAGTAATAGTAATAGTAATAGTAATAGTAATAGTAATAGTAATAGTAGTAGTAATAGTAGTAGTAGTAGTAGTAGTAGTAGTAGTAGTAGTAGTAGTAGTAGTAGTAGTAGTAGTAGTAGTTGTAAGAGTAGGAGTAGGAGTAAGAGTAGGAGTAGGAGTAGGAGTAGGAGTAGGAGTAGGAGTAGGAGTAGTAGTAGTAGTAGTAGTAGTAGTAGTAGTAGTAGTAGTAGTAGTAGTAGTAGTACTAGTAGTCGTAGTCGTAGTCGTAGTCGCAGTAGTAGTAGTAGGAGGAGGAGTAGTAGTAGTAGTAGTGGTTTGGGCTTCATGGGCTTCAGGGTTTATAAGGTTTCAAACTGTTTGAGAGTAAGGGTTACATGCGCCCGGCACGCACATGTTGAAGAGGTGAGGGGGGGGTGGCTTGGTTGCTGGAGGGGGGGCGAGAGGGTTGAGGGAGGTGTATAAGGGGGCGGGGGAAGGGGGGGGACCCTAAATCTCAGCGGGCCTCTCTTTAAGCACTCTCCCCACAAGGCGGGGAGCCTCGAAGTTTTGAGACCTCAAAGGGTTGTTGCGAAACGGCTCAGGCTCGGGTTTTAAGATTTAAGGGTTATTGAGCTTCGCAGGAGGGCTGCCCCGGGTTGTTTTAGTGATTGATGAGAAAACCTTAGGTCCTCAGGACTGGGCCTCCGGATGAATCGTTTGAAATCCGGGCATGTGTCGCGCAGTTAGCGTGCTCCGGGCTTGGATAACTTCATCCTTCCAGCGGCCTTCAGCACAAAGCTGCAACCGCGCGGCATCCCTGCACAGGAGGCCAAGAACGACCACGGCCGCAGCCTCGGGTGACTTTGACGATTCCGGGCAGCGGCCTTCGTCTCACAGAGGGTCCCGCGCAAATGGCTACCCACTGGCATCTGCAGAGGGATATAACCGAAAACATTAGAGAAGGAGCCCATGGATGTCCGCAGTATCGTCATCAGAAATTACCCAGAATGCAGGCACGACTCCGCACGCTCACCAAGGGCTGGCAGCCGCACCAAGCAGCAATTCATGAGGTCTGGAGGGAATAGCCTTTTGTGGGGTGGCCTGTAACGGTGGCAGAGAGCACGATAGGACTTAACAACTTGAACCCCAGCAGCAGCCACGACTCAAACAACCAGCATGGCAAACCTAAGCCCTTGGAGCAGTGCCAGTCTGAGGCTCGACTCCGCTCATGTACGCCGCCGAGAAGGGCCACACAGAGATCGTCAGAGAGCTGCTGGCAAAGGGCGCGGAGAAGGCGGCAGGGCAAATGTCGGCGTGGTTAGAGTCATTGTGTTGGACTTGTAGTCAAGACTGTAGCTGCCCATAGGTTCTGGATGGTTCTGGAGTCACGAGGCTCGGTCAGGTTCAGGTTTGAGGTTCGACCCAAAACGTAAATGAGCCCTCACAGTGAGTTCTCGACAGTCTTCGGGCTTCAGCCTTGCTACGAGGGACGGACAAAATGGTATCACTTTGCAGACACGAGCTGCGAGCTTGTGACCGCGGGTGTCGACATCTGTTCGCCCCAGCTCCCTTCGTAGCGCAAGGAGCTGCTGCGAGTCGTACTGTGTCGCTGGCCATAGTTGGTGGTTGCCCTAAGGCGAACTTTCCCGGGTTGCCTCAGCTTCTGCCGTTTTCACGACCCTCCAACTGCGCGTCCCTGCGCAGGATGCCCAGGACGACTTCCGCCGCAGCCTCGGGTGGTTTGGCGCACGCGTGGCAGCGGCCTTCGCCTCATAGCGAGACGGCTGTCAAAGCCAAAACCCCCCTTCGGAGCAAGCCTTGGGACAGCCGTGTCGATTATTCCTGAAGATTCCCCAAGGGGAATTGCTAGCAGCCCAACGTGCAGAAAGCTGCACGCATAGTGGTCCGCGGTAGATAAAGCCACGGACCTCTCCTCGCCGAACTGGCATAGGCGGCAGAGGAAACACAGGTCCCGTTGCAAAGCGGCGATCTGGAAGCGAAGGCAGCTTGGAAGACTGCCACTTGAGCGGCAACTTTCGTTCCTTGGGGGGGTGGCGGGGTGGGCTGGGGTGGGGGGGCTGGGGGGGCTGGGGGGGTGGGGTGGTGGGTGGGGGTGGCGGGGTGGGCTGTGTAGGGTGAGCTGAAGTGGGCTGGGTGATTGTTGAAGAGTTTCAATTCAAACGAAGTTTTTCTTGCGCGGGGACTCGAGAGGGCTGTAGCGTGCAGATTCGTTGTGCTCGGCTCGAGGCCAGCTCAGGACTGGCTGCAGAGTGGCTAGCGTGAGCGGGTTTCGCGTTCACGGACGAAGGCTGCTCCTGACCCCTTCTGGTTTCACGTGAATTCATCTTGTGCTAGGCGGGCGTTTCGACGACTCTAATGCAGAGAATGTCAACGAAAATCCCTGGTTTCAGACTGTCCGTGCTCCGTGCGACGACGATGTTTCTGAGTCCCAGGCCGGACAGCCCTCATGAACGCGGCGGAAGGAGGCCGCGCTGTGGTCGTAAAAGAGCTCCTGGCAGCGGGCGCCAACAAGGCGGGTGTCATTTTTGAAGACGCAGCAACGCGGCGCCTGTAACTCCATGTCCCATGCATGGTCCGGTGCGCAAGGAGCTGACGGACCATTACGGCCCCGGCCTCGGCCCTGCATTGGTTTGCCTCCAGAGTTGAGAGCAGCTGCCAACCTCAGAGGCAGAAACCTAGCGAAGCTCCGCCAAAAGCCGAGGTTACACGGCGCTGGATAAGGCGAGAAGAAAAAGTCGCGAGGAATGCGTCCGGCTTCTGAGTGGCGGCGGCCTTGGCCTCGGCCAGAGCTGTCAAGTCCACAACGACAGAAACATATGAGAGGAAACGAAGTGAGATCGAAGGTTTCACGAGCATTCGAGGAACTCGCCCTTCGCATCAGAGCAGCTCATGGTCTGATGGCTGCACAAAGCAGACACATGCGTGGATGTGCGTCGTACTCCAAGTGGATACATCACATAGAAGAACAGCCCTTCTGTTTAAACTGTTTAGATTCATGCTAGCCTTGAATTACCGGTCGATCTTGTTGGGTGTTCGTGGATCGGGTGCGTCAGTGAAGAGTTTCAGGCAGTACTCGATACCCATTGGCCCATCTGACGCATCTCGATCTACTAGAGCTCAGCTCCGGGGTTGGGAAAGCTCACAGATTTTGGGCACGTTTTTCTCCATAGCTAGAAGGATACTCGTAGGCTTTCAAGGTAGCAAGGTTCCTGTGAGAGAGGCGCTGCGCCGGTAGCTGCAAGGGTTTCACCGTTGCGAGTAATGCAACGTCCCGTCTTCCCTCAGCCATGCCTCAATGACATGATGTCATATCACAAGGATCCCAGTATTTGTGGTGCCATATTAGGGTCCACTATTGTCTGAAACTCCCTGGCACTGCTTTGCTTGAAGAGCTGAGGCTGAGCAACGAACTCCGAGGCTGTCGAAGCTGCGGGGACTTGATCTTGTTCTGCGCATGTGCCTTCCTGCTTTGTGTCATACAGCCCAACGGCACGCAGGGAGGGTCTAGGGCAGATGGAGCCGGCGCTAGTCCGGCATTAGGCTGCAGGAGAGCAGTAGACTCCTACACTGAAAAGCCCTCTTCTTTACCGAATTCCGCAGCTGTTGAGGCCGAAGTTCGGAGCTCCCCGGCGACAAAATGCATGGCAAAGCCATGCAAGGAGTCCAGAAGCCTTTGGTCCCTTTCAGTAAGGGCTCCAGCGGCGTGCCTCAAAATGTCGTCGCGTTCATCTGCAGTAGACTCTTATTGGAGGCAGCGATGCTTTGGCAGGCGAATAGGTTTGCTTTTTGCAAGCACGGCATTGGCAGCGTTCTCCTGCCCGCTGCCCTTCTCGACAAAACAGATTTTTTGAAGGTTGTGGAGATTAGTGTTGAAGTGCGTGCGCACATGTGACAACTGTTTTTGGTTCCGAGCAAAGCTTTTCTCCTCCGTGTATCAGAGTCCCCGATGACAGCAGGGGGGAATCGGCAGAGTTTTCCGGCGCTTATCCGGAACCTCTTCGGAGGGACACAGGGTTTTCCCCAAAATGCATGAGAGCTTCCAGGCCGAGTCCGAACGCGAAGATCGACTTTTCGAGGTGAGTAGAGGTCACATCCACTCAGTCAGCAATGAGCATTAAGCCCTGACCTTAAGACTCGAGGAAACCTCAGAGGCACGGAGCGTCGTCTCATAGATCCAGAATTGCAGACCACACAGGATCCCGAACCTGGCGTTCATAAAATAGCATAGTACGATTGTTATTAGGGAGGAGCTCTTCCGAAGCCGAGGCCGAAGGTCGAAACTCCCAAGTGGCAGAGCGCGGCGAAGCTGTGCGGGAGGAGCATGAAGTATCTAGGGTTTAGGGATACTACAGGAGCTGGCAGTAATATGCACTTCTAGTCATAGTCTTAACAGGCTTATCCAATAACAACTGACATAACATGGAACAGCATGGCTGGAAATGCTTCTTGGTGCCGCCAGAGATTTGTTGAGCATGGGTTTATCCGTCGACAAGCAGATAAAACGCCTCTTGCCCCTTCCATGATGGGTTACAGACTTGAAGCACGGATACAGCAAAGATCGGGAGCAGGGGGAGACGTCTTTGTGTGTTTTGTTTCCGGACCTGTAGTTCACCAGATGCTGCAGGCTCATGCCTCCTGCAGCTTCTTCAAGTCCTTAGCTCTTGTCGAAGAGGTGTTGTAGACATATTGGTTGTAGTGTCCTCTTTCAGTTAACGAGGAGAAGGTTTTGTGTTTGAGCTTGAACTGAGGGACTCTGACAGCAGCAGTTGCTCTGCCCTGAGTGCTCTGTCGGGCAGGATCTTCCAATTCGCCGTTAGGCTAAGGTCGAGGTTCAGCTCTAGTTACATTCGATCGTGTAGGGAGATGAGGACCGTATGTCGACTTGATTTGGGGAGGGCCGTGGGCAGATTTAGCCGGCGGGTATTCGGAACCCTGTTCGGAGGGGCAGAGGATTGTGCCTAAATGCATGGGAGCTTCCAGAGACTTGGCCTCCGAAAGCGAAGATCGAATTTTCGATGCGAGCAGAGGGCACATCCACTCAGCAAACAGTGAAGCAGCATTCAGCGCAGAGTGAGTGAGTGAGTCAGTGAGTAGTGGCACCCGTTACAGACGGGGCCATGCCTAAGGTGCTATCCCTCCCGGCATTTCATTGGAGACCTCAGAGGCACGGAACATCTTTTAACATACATCCAGAATTGCAGACTGCCGGATCCCCAACCCTGCCGCTAATAAACTAGCATCGTACAATCTGACAAACTGCTGTATCATAATGTAGTGTAGTCTTTGAGAGTCAAGAATGATTCATGAAGTCATCATTTTGTTCCGAGCTCTTCAGAGGCCGCAGGTCGAAACTCCCAGGTGGCAGAGCACGGCGAAGCCGCGCTGGAGGAGCACGAAGCACATGGAACATCATGGCTGGGGATGCTTCTTCGTGCCGCCAGGGACTTGTCGAAAAGGGTTTATCCATCGGCAAGCCGTCAAAAGCCTCTTGCCCCTTCCATGGTCAAGCACGGATGGGCGCAAAGATCGGGAGCAGGGAAAGGCGTCTTTCTGTGCTTTGTTCCCGGACCTGTAGTTCACCAGATGCTGGACCTGCCGTCCCTCCCCTGCTGTTCGTCTCGCTATGCGAACTCGAACCCGTAAACCCCGCGGCAAAAGCCCAAGTAGCATCTGGGAAGTTTTAGGGAATCTCGACGTTCAGTGCTTTCGCAGCATTCGAGGGCGGCTAAGAGCTGTGAGATTCCAGGCATGAGGTCTATACGGTTTAGAGCTACTCTTCTTCCCCAGACCTTTAAAACCTTCAACGTAAAGCCTGTAAACCGTAAAACCCTCCACCCCAAACACCAAACCCTGTAACCACTGTAAGCCTAAATCCGAAGCCCCATAGTACACAAAATTACCCTTTGGATCACTTTAAAGGAACATCCTAAAGCCTTAACCCCTATCCCCTGCAGATCCCAATATAAATCCGAATCCCCCGTGACTGTCGGCTTCCCTCGCCTAGTGGTACCATGTACAAGGTTTGCCTGTGACGTCCGGCAGAGGATGCACAAAGAGACCATCCTGGCCATGCGCGAAGAAGATACAGCAAGGTATACAGATGCATACTTGTAGAAAGTGATGTTCCAGTTAAAACCCCGTAAATCCCTCATAGAACCCTTATGGGAACCCCTTCAGTCGGAATCCGGGTTTCAATGTTCGGGTTTACGGGTGTGTGGCGTAGGGCTTAGGGCTAAAGAGCTTGCCCACCCTAAACGACGGTCAACATCCTTTTAAACTCAACCGTTCCAAACATGCCATTGTCAAGTCTTGGCTGCATGGTTGATGCTGTGGCTTTCGGGAGATGGACAATCTTCCAAGTCCGCAACCCCAAAACAAAAACCTGGCCTGCTTGGTCTCGCTCGAACTCAACGAATTTCAAACAGGTTCGACCCACGTGGAAAGCCCTGAAGAGAACGCACTCTCCTCTGCACCCTAAACTTAAAACCTCGAACAATTGAACTTTTGCTTGAGCCTTCGAAGCGTGAGCCCGATATCTCAAATTTGACAACCTCAAGCAGCAAGCGATGCTGCAACAGCGCTTGGTGGCATGGAAAGCCGGGTTCAGCGCCATCCGCGCCCTGTCCGATCCTAAGATCAGGCTGCTTGTGGCGATGTCGACTTGGATGGAAAACCACGTGCCACACGAAGGGTTGTACTTACTACGGGCAGGACGTTATGCCAAACATGTCAAGCCGGCTTTATACTTGTTCCGGTCAAAACTATCGTTGAATAAAGACACTCGTCCCAGTTGTGCCGTCTCTGTTGTACCGGTTTTAGTATTGCCATCGTCATGATTGTTACATATTAGCGTCGCTTTTGTCGTCCTTCACATCGTGAGTGTTATGATCTTTACGAAAAGGTTGTCGGTGTTCATGACTAGCGTGACTCTTGTGCTGAGGTGTCTTGCGGCCATTAGATGGAGTTTTCTTTTCGAGCCGCAGGTCCATTCTGATCTTTCCGGTTGTGCTGATTGCCATTGTTGCCCCTCTTTTGGTGAATTATCATCTGCGTTCCGGTTGTATCTAACCTATACCCAACACTCCAGAGGAGTTTTAGTGCCCCAGATCATAAACCCTAAACCCTAAGCCCCAGATCATAAACCCAAGTCCTGAGCCGTAAGCTCGCCGCCGTAGGGAGCTGCCTGCACTGTGCGCGCGTTCTTGGCGAGAGAGCCAGGCGACCCCAAACCCGAAGCCCTCAAGCCTAAACCGTAATCCTTGAACCGCAAACCCTAAATCCTCAATCCTAAACCCTAAACCCTGAACTCCTAAACCCTGAACCATCAACGCGAAATCCTAGACCTTGAAGTCCAAAACAAAAAAAAAGTCCAAAGCAACCACCCAAACCCTAAGCCCCGACTCGGAGATCCATGCGATCTAGCTGATGCGCTGTTTATGCACAAGTCGCCCAAAAACTGAAACCGTAAACCCGAAGCCCAAAGACAGAAACAGTAGGCCATAGACCCCAGCTCTCATTAAACTTGTCTTCATATATATATATATATACACATACAGATACCACCCATAGTAGTGACCCTCATAAGCAAGCCTGAATAAGACTCGCAACGCTTGAAACCCAATGCCCTGAATCCTTGAAAACATACATCCAATAAAACTGGAGCCTTAAAGCCTCAGCCCTAGATCCTGAACCCCGAACGCCGAAACTTTAAAAAAAAAAAAAAAGAACGCCGAAACTTTAAAATTGCAATCATGTACCCCAAAAAAGAAGACCTCTAGAAACCCTCAATAGCCCCCCACCCCTTCAAAGAGTAACGGACGGTCCGACAAGGTCCATGCCCTCCCGGGCGGATACGCAGCCCATGAGATTCCATCAAGTGGCGCCCGGAAAGGCACGCGTTCTTTTGGGATTGTTGCCGGGTGGTACTTCCTGTCACAGAGGGCTGTTTTGGGTTTTTAAGCTTAGGAATTCTAAACCCTAACCCCTAAACCCCTAAACCCCAGACCCTTAGATTTACGTCTTCGGGGTGCAGGAGGTATTCTTGCCGAGGTGTGGGTCCCTCGCACCTGATAGCACTTGTTGGCAGGAATCAGGGCAATAGGGGTTTAGGGTTTCGTTTGTCGGGGGTTGGGGGTTTAGAGTTTAGGATATAAGGGTTTAAGGTTGAGGGATTTAGGCTTTGGGTTAGGGGTTTGGGGTTTTCGAGGGCTGAGCACTCGGAATATCGTAGACCTCTCTAAGCTGCTCTCTAGGCATAGTGCCCCATCGCACTCGGCCAGCCAGTTCTTGCCTTGGAGACTGCTGAGGCCAAATACAAGCATGTCGATGCACAGCACTGGGAAATGTATGCAGTAGAGTTTACATCGTCACCAAGGTACTTAGCTTCTCACCCCGCCCGCCCCGCCTCCGTTGGTGAACGGTTCGCCACTCCCCATATGATGTCACCCATTCAGGACCAAAGTCTAGCCGGTCGGATACCACAAAGCCAGCCGCGCTGGCAAGGCAACAGTCCTCACCATCACCTGACGTTGCGGCAAGTTGGTGCAATATAGGGGCGTTAATAATTAGAATAGCGTTTCGGGGTATATTGTACATAATATAACGGTACAAAGGAGCCCCCAAAGCCCTACTCTAACTGTTCAGGCACCTACATTAGCCGATTGTTGATGAAAGCACCCGGCAGAATCTGCCCCAGTTGCATCCTCGCATTGTTAATGCTTCAGGACAGGAATCCAGGCATGAAGCTGTTTCTGTGTTTCGACACATATAGTGCGGGCCTTCCTTCTCACTGCAGACTGGTGTTCTAAACCCTAGACCCTACACCCTGAACCCTAAACCCTAATCCCCAAACCTTGAACTGCTTTGTAAATTCCGGCAATCCTTCGCTGCAGGCAGCTTCAAACTTCGTCACCGACTTTGCTGCGGGGCTCTTCCTGCTCAGTTTGTGAAGGGTTTGCGTGTTTGAGGTGTAGTTGCAGCTCATGGAGGTTTTGGCTGGAAGAAGTCGACCAGAACAGACTGAGCCTGCAGGATGCTTCGGGTAGGGCTTGTTTTTATATTTTGGGAGATCTCGCACAAGTTAGGGCCTCACAGCTTACTAGGGTTGCATAGAGCTTCAAAACATGCCGGTTTTGCACGGACTCAGCAGCTTCGGGTTTAGGGGTTCGGATCACTCGCTTTGATACTCTGCAGCAAAGGCTCCAGGACTCGCTCGGCATTTCTGTTTCCCGCTCTTCGCCCCAAGAAGCCATGGCCCAGGCCTTCGTGATCCCCGCCTCCCTCTCCGCCGGCGTCGCCGCCCCCACCGCGAACCGCGCCTCCGCGCCCAGCGCGAGCCTTCGCGGAACCTCCGAAGCTGCTCCGGCCAGCTCCGCCGGCGCCACGCTGGCCACGGCTGCCTTGGCCGGGGCCGTCGCCGTGGGCGTGGCCGGCGCGCGCCGGGCGCAGCGCCGGGCCCCGAAGGCGCGCAGCGCCGTGGCCGTGCGTGCCGAGAACCCCCGGGCGGACAAGCTCAGGACCATGGAGAAGACGGTTCAGGAGCGGGACTCCAGTCGGAACCCGTCCTAGCATTTGGGCAGGAATACGCGAACGTTGCTGTCAAATGAGGAAGACAGCAGCAGAATGGCAAGGAATACAATACGGATCTACCAGAGCAGAAAGTAACACCGCCACAGCATGCCGTATCGTGCCGTGCCACTATGCAGCACAGCAAAGAGTACATAATGCCACTAACAAGAAAACCACATCAGAACATAGCATAGGTCATCATAAAACACAGTAGACTAACTGAACAAACTTGACTAGAGTCTCACAAAACATGCGACAGCAAGTCATAGCGTAGCATTCGCAACATGACTTAGCCAGTACCTTAGGAGTCAGAGTTTGGGGTTGGGGCTTCGGTAAGATAACATGACAAGAAATCAATATACCTCAACATGCCATACCCGCACATCACCTTGTGAGTTCAGTCAGCTGTGCCCTCGTTTCTTCACCACGATCTAGGACGAAGTATCTTCAGGAGAGCAAACGTAGCAGAACCGGAAGCCTGCCCAAGCCCTCAACCCTTAATTACCCATAAATCCAAAAAGCACTAATGCGGAACTTAAGCCCTGAAGCTGAGGCCCACGACTCCCGACCCTATCGCTCCCCGAAACCCCCCAACAGGTGTCGCCCTCCATTCTCTCTGCTGACTTCGCCAACTTGGGTCAGGAGGTCGGCGATGTGCTGAAGGCCGGGCCAACAGGATTCAGGCAATGGGTATAGGCTATAGGGCACGTCAAGGGCATGAACAAGCATGAAGAAGGGTGTGTATTCAGGTTTTAGGGCGTAGGGCTTCAGGTATAGTATAGGGTTGGAGTGTTTGAGTTGAAGTCTATGGTTGATTGTAGCAGTTTGTCGTGTCGCTATCTAGGCTTTCATAGTTGCTGCTCCTATAAGGCCTCAGGGGTTTGTGTATTCGGGATTCAGGCATAAGGTTGCAGAGTTTGAGTTTCAGGTCGGGGTTTTTCGTTGCTAACGTTGAGGTTTGAAATTGAAGTGGTTGTGGTGCTAGAGTTTAAATTCCCGGTAGGTACAGGGTTGTAGTGGTTGAGTTTAAGTTCAACGACGTTAAGTATCTAGCGTTTACGGTGGTGGTGTTTGAATCTAAGTGCAGGGGTTTCATGCTTTAGCATTTAGCAGTCCCAGGGCACAGAGTCTATCTCTAGGGTTTGGAGGTTACGCACGGCTTAGCACTTTCGGGCCTCGGGTTTAGGGTTTCGAGGCGTGAATGACCCGGATGCCGCTGTTTCTTCTGCTTTTGTTGTTGTTGCTGCTGCCGAAGGTCTCCCGATTTCCAGACACCGATGAACTGCAGCGACAAAGTAAGAGAGACCCCTCATGCCCCAGCTCGAAACCTCGAGATCATACGTTGCGTTTGGGGTTTCGGGATGCCTCCCTATACTAAGCCCCCACTATTATGATAGGCCCCATAGTAGTTCTGTTTTTGGGGTTACCATATCGGATTTTACATACGAGCCCTGAAAAGGAACTACTATGGTTGATGATATATATCCTGCATGACCCATAAGAAGGAATATACCATAAATCCCATAGTCTAGGGTCCTTAAGGTAATGCAGGATTTATACCATCAACAGGATGGGGCCTATTCTGCTATCATGAGTGTCGATGTCACCTGCACAGGCCGGAGCGGACTGGGTGCACGTGGACGTGATGGATGGCCGCTTCGTCCCCAACATCACCATCGGCCCTGGCGTGGTCTCCGCACTCAGGAGCGGCACACCGCAACCGTTTTGAACCATACACCCTAAACAACTTTCTTGGTTTTTCATGTTTCGGACATGGAACATGGGTTTTCGAGGGAAGTGGAATTGAAGCTCAGGACTTAAGTGAATCCTGTAGAACCTACATGTTTAGGGTTGTCTTTGCCGCAAGAATCCGATCACTTAGTCCTTTCCTTGAGGGCCCGGAGAAAACGAAGCTCCCATCTAGACCTACACCCTCAACGGCTTAAGCCTCGAGCCTAAACCGATCTCCTGAAGCCGTCCATGGCTCCGTGTCCCAAAGCCCTGCGAGGAAGGCGCATCCTGACTCAATTCTGGACTGCCATCTGATGTGCCCTGGCGATCTGAGTTTACACACAGGCCCCATAGTAGTTCCTTTTTGGGATTACCTTATAGGATTCTAAATATGAACCCCCCCAACAAGGAACTACTATGGGACCCCCCAACAAGGAACTACTATGGGGCCTATGGGTAGGCTTCTTGAAGGGGGTTGAGGGGGCCTTCAGAGATTCAGGGGCTGAGGGATCAGGGGTTCAGGTTTTGGGGCTTGTGGGGGCTCAGGGTTTGGGAGGGAAGGGTTCTTGCAGGGCGCTGTAAGAGTACGGCAAGGGTACTATCTGGGTTTGGGGTTTAGGGTTTCATTCGCGGAAGTACTCCTTGCTGCAGGTCCTGGGTATAAGACATAGAAGAACAGTTCTGACACCTTTGAAGGTTTAGGTGTGTCCAGCATATTTGTAGAGGTGCAGGAATCCTCAGACAGACACAAAAGCGTAGACCCAAGTCAAAGTTCTCAGAGGTGCTTGAAGCCGACACCACCTAGTCTGAAAAATCGAGGGTTTTTGGTGGCCTGTAGAGGTTCCTTGTGGGTCTTTTTTCAGAGTTCCTTACTGGCTTTGTAGCGGTGAAAATTAAGGGTGTATAAACGTTCTAAGTCGATAGAGTTTTCAAGTCCTAAACAAGGAGCCATCGGCCAGAGGGCGTAGGGTTTTGGGTTTAGTTCATATGGGAGTTTCCCAAAATAGGGGACCCTAATATAGTAACCTAGATAGTAGGATCCTTTTTATAAGGACCCCAAAATATGGTACCCCTAATTTCCGGAAACTCCCATATAGGGTCTAGGTTTAGGGCTTTCTCGAGGCGCATTCGAAATGTTTCGATTTTTTTCCGCTCAGGATCGTGGAGCCGGAGCAGCGCGTGGAGGACTCACCACAAGCCCAGGTGTCCCAAACTCCAGCAGCCGTGAAGCTTGCAAGCATCAGACATCCCAGCCTCACAACCCTGAGCTGCAAGCCCGGAAATCCTAAACCTTTGCTTTCAGACCTCATTGATTTTAGGACCCTGTTCCATTCCTTTTAGAGTCCAGACAGCCCCCATAAAATCTCTCCCTTTTCGCATCAGCACTGAGCAAGACCTCCGGTCTCAACCGAAAGCCCTACACCACTCACCCTAAAGCTCAGAATCCCTCATCCAGGCTCTACTACCTACTAGGTATTCCGACTGTACCAGGGAGGAAAAGGGCCCTCAAAAAAAAAACAGAATCCCTCAATCCTTCCATCCCAGAAGCTCTAAGTTCGCCAGGATTTTGCAAATGCCGGAGCAGACATCATCTCCGTGCATTGCGAGGCCTGCCGATTTAGGGCTCTCCGGCTTTGTGGTGTTTGGGGCTTCAGGGTGTTTAGGGCATTAGGGTGTTTAGGGCTTTAGGGGTTGGGGTGTTTGGGGTGGTGTGGGGTTTAGGGTTCAGAGTTAAGGGCTTAGGGTGTTTAGGGCTTTAGGGTTTTGGGTATAAGGCTTGATCCCCAACTCACCTGACAAGTGCGGCGTTGCCCTGGATGCTGCCTTCCGGAAGCAGGGAACGACCATCAGCGGAGTGGACAGGGTGCCACCCGTCTCTTCTCAGGATCCCTGCCAACCCTAAACACCTAAACCCCTAAACCCCTACAACCCCTAACCCCTACAACCCCTAACCCCTAGACCGCTGAAGCCCCAGCGAATATCGAGACCTCGAGGCCTCCGCTCGAGCACTGAATTTAAGAGACCCCGGCCGCTTGGCTACTGTAGGAACCTGATGAAGAAACACTGGCCCCATAACCCCCAATATATTAGGGAGCCCTAATAAGGACCCAAGGTTTCTTAATCAGGTTCCTACATTATCCTTTTGCTGTGGACGATCCTGTAATGTTGGCATCGGCATGGGGCGGACTTTGCCATGTTGTACATAATCGTCATTATGTGGTCATGGTTCTCAAAACCAGTGTCATCATCGTCGTTGGTCTCATCCTCATCCGGAAAATGTGTATGCCCCCTGTCTTCAAAAGAAGCACCAAGAAAAGCCCATTCCACGGTCAAAGCCTTATCTTTGAGAGTCGCAGGCTGCATCCACCATCCACCTCCACCGCACGCTGAATCAGATCAAGAGCCCGGGGCCCCGGAAGTGCCAGCTGTTTTTCGTGTTTTGTGATGATGGATTCTGTTTAGAAAGCTAAATCATGGCTTTACAGATGTTTGTGAGCGGGCTGTAAGCTTCAGAGGGATTCTATAACGGGCTGGGGTTTCGGGTTTCAGTGGTTCAAGGGCTCCGGGGTTTCAGTGCTTAGCATCAGCTATGCTTTTAGGGTTTCGGGGTTGAGATGCCGGTCTCTGGCACGAAGCGCAGACTCAGGTCTCGGAAGGTGTTAGAGGTCTCTTCCTGGTTTTGGCTTGTTTTTGTTTTCTTTGTAGAACAGTAGATGCCTAAATAAACACGAAAAGGTCAAGTCTATCGCACAAGAAGCGAGCCTCACAACAGTATGCATAGCCACGTTCGTACAACAGTACCAGAGGATTCGCCAAGGACATCAGTATCATTCTCATTCTTTTCGTCGTCGTCATCACCATCATATTCATCATCATCATCATCATCATCATCATCGACCGGTGAAAGAAGAGCAAGCGCTGTAGTTGTTGCTCTGACGCGGACGAGGACAGGCGCAAAGCCACGCAAAGCACAAAGTGTCCAATCAATTTCGAGCTTTTGTTTTCGTTTCGACGCCCTACCCCTAAAACCCTCATTACTACCTTAAGCCACCATGCCCTAATACCCCTTAAACCCCAATAAACCTCACGGCTATAAGCCCTAACGTATACCCAACGCCTTCAGCCCTAGACTACCAGCTCCTAATCTTCGAACCAATGAAAACCGCATTTACACTCAACGAAAGCCCCAAACCCGTTCATTTTTAGGACATGCCTTTCTTTTATTTCATTCGCACCCCTAGACCCTTCCTAAAGCCTAAACTAAAACCTAACCCTAAACCCCAATCATGACCCTAAACCACAATGCCCTTATAGCCTTAAGCCCTACAATCTTAGTAATTCCCTTAAACCCTAAACCCCTAAACCGTGAGTATCTGCTGGCTATGAGTACTGAGCTCGTTGAGACGACAACACAGATGGTACACCACCTGCTAGAGACAGGCATAGAAAGTGCTTGGGTGGACCCCTTCGTTCTTCCGCTACACCTACAAGGACTTGGTCCTGGTGATGCGACGAGTTCGTCTACTTCGGGTGTTTGCCTTCCTGGTGACCGTGACCGTTCTCGGAGCCGTGGGCGTCGGGTGGGTCGTGACAACAGTGGGGTGGATGCGTCGGCCATGGAGTCTACTTTGACCTCCTTGATGGCTACAAGTTCGGAGGATGTTTCACTCAGTTGAGGGCAAAATGCCAGCGCTTTTTCTGAGAAAGGGTGCAGTTCAACTTAAAAAAACCCTAAACCCCTAAACCCCTAAAACCCTGAACCCCTAAACCCCATAACCCTAACCCCTAAACCCTCAAAAGCAGAAAGCCCAGAAAAGCTCTCCCTCTACCGAGGCTTCGGCTGCCTTGCCGGCGTGGTGCTGAATCCGGGCACCCCGCTCTCCCAGATCGAGTACGTCCTAGAGGAGGCCTCCTTGTTTAGGGGTTTAGGGGTTGAGGGTTTAGGGGTTTAGGGGTTTAGGGGTTTAGGGGTTAGGGGGGTTGAGGGGTTGAGGGGTTTGGGGGTTTAGGGGTTTAGGGTTTTAGGGGTTTAGGGGTTGAGGGTTTGGGGGTTTAGGGGTTTAGGGTTTGTCTTCGGAGGGTTTTTAGGGTTTCGGGTTTAGATTCTTCTAGGACTCCGTTTAGGACCCCTTCTCGGGTTCCTCAATTAAGATGTTCCTTCAAGGGTTCCTGGAGAGGCAGTGTAGCGCCTACTGCTAAGCGAATAGGGAAATAAGGCGAAAACAAGCATAGCCTGCCCTGTTACGACGGAACTGGGCGCCAAGGAACTTGTGGCCGTTGACTTGAGGTTGCGTTCAGGTGAAAGGAATAAGGTGTCGGAGAAGGGGTTGAGGGTTTGTGGCGAATGGGGTACGGTTGCCTAGGGTTTAGGGTGCAGGGCTTAGGTGTTGTGATGGAAGTACTTGTAGGTGTTTAATGACATAAGAGTGACGGTCGGTGCGGTTGCTCTTTATCGTGGCATGAAGATGGCGGTATGAAGACAAGATGACATCCTGAATTTTGTGCTGGTTGCAACAGCATGCTCGTGTCTCTATTCGTGCACCAGACGGTTGCAGCGGCCTTGATGTCTCCATCGTACAGTCACATAACATAGAAGCATGAAACATCGCATTACTTATTCCCACCATAGCCCGAAACCCTGAATAACCCTGAGCCCTAAACCATAGCCGACCATAGCTGTAGTACAAGACCCGAACCCTGTTCCCGTTCCTATGGACTTTATCTCGGACTGTGCTGAAGGATGTTCAGAGAAGCAGGTTTCAAACCCAAAACCCTAACCCGACACCCCAAGCACGAAACCCTGAAACCAACATGCCTGAACCCGGTGATGATGGCAAGCACTCACAGGGAAACGCAACTGCCAAACTCCTCCGAAACCCCCACCTGTGACCACATACGTAGACCTTCAACTCCGGAAATCCAGAAATCTAAGCCCAAAACCTCTGCCCTAAACTCACAACACTACGCTTCCCCCGGCCGCCGAGACATACGAAGCCACGAGGGCGACCTTTTCTCCGAGTTGATTTGTTAAGAGATACCCTCAACCCGAAACCCCTAAACACAACCCCTAAACACCTAAATCCCAAAGCCACCAGGCCCTAAACCCCACACGCCCTGCACTCCTAGACACCCAACAGGTGGACCTGATCCTCCTCATTATTCCTTAGGGTTCGTTAGAACTCAGAAAATGCACACCGAAACCCTATTGAAATTATTAAGGCCCCTAGCCTAAAGCCTAAGCGGTGGATCTGGTGCTCATCATATTGTTCCTTTTTAAGGCCCCTATACTAAACCCCAAACCCTGAACCCTGGACCCTAAACCCTAAACCCCTGAACCCTTATCAAGGCTCCTTAAAGCCTGAACCCTGAACCCTAAATTTTAAACCTCTAAACCCTTATTAAGGCCCCTTAAACCCTGAACCCTGAACCCTAAGAGGTGGACCTCACCGAAACCCTATTAAAATTGCGCAAAAATTATTAAGGCCCCTTAAACCCTGAAGCCTAAGAGGTGGACCTGGTCCTCATCATGTCGGTGAACCCCGGCTTCGGTGGGCAGAGCTTCATCGAGTCGCAGCCCTTCGGCTCTCAGGGGCGTCGTTGGGTTCTTAAACCTTAAACCCTAAAGCCTAAGAGTCTTTAGGGGTTTTGGGTTTTCGGGTTTCGGGGCTTTTGGGCTTTGGGGCGTTTCTCGGTTTAGGGGGGGTTTTGGGGTCTAGGGGTGAGGGTTCAGGGGTTTTAGGGTTCAGGGGTTCAGGGTTTCACAGCTGTTGGGGCTAGGGCGCTTGATCCCCATGCACACTGGAAGAACCGGAAATTTTCAAGTCGGGTAGGGTTTAGGATTTTAGGGTTTCGGGTTTCAAAGCCACGGCTGTTGTGGTTTAGGGTTTTGCAGTTTTACAGTTTGGGTTAACAGGAACTCCTGAAACTACATAGGGTTGTCTGACCTCGCGAGGAAGACGACCTCGAGATATCTCGAACCCCAAACCCCCCGACTTTTTCAGGCTGAAGAAGATCAAGGACCTGAAGGCTATGTGTGAAGCCAAGGGCGTGCCGCTTTGCCTCAGGTGTAGGGTCTAAAGGGTCCCATGAAAGGGCTCAAATTGAAGAGTCCCTGCAACATGGTTCCTCTCTAGCGTCCTTATTGCGTTTTCCGGGGGTCGTTTAGGGTTTCACAGGGCTTGAAGGGTCCTTTTAAAGAGTTCCTTTGAAGGTTCCATAAGAGTTCTACAATCATCTGAATGCTGAAGTCCGCGGGTCTTCAAACATCCTTAAGTGATGTTAGCACAGAGTCACAAAGTATCAGCAAGAGTATCCCTTCATAGTCCCGACACAGCCATATACTACAACATGCCCCAAACTATGTTCGAATTCTTAAGGCCATAGAACTAACAGTGTAAGCATATCATTTTCATGCCAACATGGAAGTTGTGGGAGGCAGGCTGGCACTCCATGCGGGGTTTCAGGAAACCTAGCGTCAGGTCATTCAAACCCCGACTCTACAAACAGTCGTAAATCGGATGTATAAGAACCCTCTAATCGAGGGAATCATCCCTAAAGCGTATGCCCTAAGCCGTAAATCCTAAGCATTAATCCCTAAGCCCCGTAAGAGCTCACATATGACTTACAAACATGTCGTGGTCGCCTCGCCTGTGATGTTTGTGCCCATCCCAAACAGTTTTAGCAGTGACAGTTCCCTGGTCCCTAGGGTATAGGGTTTAGAGTTAGAATGTGCTATCAGAAGACAAAAAGCCTGAGCATTTGCTTCCTAGGATCTCCAGTAGTACCCTTATTCCGTTTTTGTAGTCCTAGGTCCCTTATAAAGTTACCCAATACCAAAAAGAGAGGCCTTTTTATTCTTAGGTTACTGGGTATCCTAGCTTATATGCAGGCTAGGAAGACCGGGAGTTCAAAAAAACAAAGTCAAGCGGCTCTTTCCCAGCTTCGAGCCCTCCGACCCCCAAACCCCCAGTCCAAACCCAAAACCCTCAACTTCAACCGTAAACCGCCGACCTTAACTGCTAGGTGGAAAAAGGCGTTCAAACAAAAAACGAAAAACACCCAGGAATCCCTGGATCGAGATCGATGGCGGCGCCAGCGGCGCCAACGCCAAGGAGATCAAGGAGGTCCAAGAACTGCAAGAAAGGGTTCGATTGCGGGTTTGGGGTCATTAGGGTTTCGGGTTTAGGGCTTTAGGGTTTAGGGCTTTAGGGTTTAGGGTTTAGGGCTTTAGGGTTTAGGGGTTTCGGGGTTTAGGGCTTTAGGGTTTAGGGGTTTAGGGCTTTAGGGTTCAGGGTTGAGCCAGGGATCCAACTAGTGTTTCAAGTGCCATGCATGTAATTATGAGGTCGCCGCGATTGCGTGGGGTTTGGGAGTACGAAACTCTGAGGGCAGTTTGTACCTGCCATCTCGTCAGGTTGTCATGTGTGGTGTAGTCCTTTCTCCTCGCGGTTTCAGGGTTTCCGGTTTGCGTCGAAGATCATGTAAGACTTGTTTCTGAGCTTTCAACGGCTCTCCAGGATTTCTCGTTGTGGTGTTGGGTCCTGTTCGGGTCTCGCGTGCGCACACCTTGAAGCCTCATTCTAATCAAAACATGAATCAGCCAACAAGCGGCCCGAAATGGGAAACACCCTAAACCCTGCACCATTGGAGTGTAGAGAGGTCCTGTAATGGGGGTTGCAGCGGGAGATCGGCAGAGACCCATCCATGAGCCTTTATTGTAACTTGTTTACGTGGTCCTTCCACTTACCTTTGGTCCAGCAGGGATTGGATGAATGGTAGTAATAGTAGTTTAATTGTACCCCATTCCTCCATTCTCTACTAAGCAAAGGTAAGTCCACCGACCTAGGGAAGTATGGAGCGCCCCCCCGCGCAAAGGCAGGCTGCAATGCCATCGTGGCCGGCTCTGCCGTCTTCAACGCTCCCGACTATGCCGAGGCCACCGCTTTGCCTTTTGGGGCTTCGGGCTTGCCGTTTACGGTTTGAGGTTTATGGGCTCGGGGTTTAGGGTTTGTTAGTCGGTTTAGTGTTAGAAGCTTAGGATGACTGTGCCTACGGTTAAGCCTGGCCTAGGCGGACACCTTGGGTTCGTACACCTTGCTGAAGCTTGATGCGGTGATGCTGACAGCTTCGGTGACATCAAGAAGCAGATAGCACCCTCATAGATCCCTTATAGGACCCCCTTTCAAGGACCCCTTTTAGGGAATCCTATTCCAATCATTAAGGCCCCTGGGATAAATTGAGCAAGACTCTGGAAGCCCTATAGGCCGTTAGGCCCTCCCAAAGCGCTCAATCCGAAAACCCTGCAGCCCTAAAGTCAACCTTAACCCTCAATAACCTATATACCCCTTTAAAAAGGGTTCCTTATGACACTTTCCTTATATAAGTCTTTAAAACGGTAGGTGATTCCGGGGTAAGGAAAACCCTAAACCCTAAATAAACCCCCTAAACCCCCTAAGCCCTAAACCCTAAAGTCAAAACCCTGAAGCCATCAGTACCCTAAACCCTAAACCCTAAACCCTAAACCCTAAACCTAAACCCTAAACCCTAAACCCTAAACCCTAAACCTAAACCCTAAACTCTAAACCCTGAAGCCTTAAAAAAAACCTTGAAGCCTTCTGCACGGAGGCCGTCAAGGCGATCAAGGAGGCATAAGAAGGGATCCCCTCTCGAGCCAGAAGAGGCGCAGCACTGCCTTTAGGGATCGTTCTTCGAGTTCTTCAGGGTTGCGCGGGATAGCAGGGTTGAGGGTTTTAGGGTTTGGGGTTTAGGGTTAACGGTTGAGGGTTTTAGGATTTAGGGTTTAGGGTTAACGGTTGAGGGTTTTAGGGTTTACGGTTTAGGGTCTGGGGTTTGGATTTTAGGGTTAAGGGTTTGGGGTTGGGCCGGCGATGATGGTTTAAACGAACCTTTGTGATTCAGGAAATGTGAGCATTGTATCCCTGACCGCTAAACCCTAAACCCTCACAGCCCCAAACTGTAAACCCTACGACATCCCACATCCTAGACCCTTATATCCTAACTCTAAACCCAGAACGATTTCCGCACATTGACGTCGCCCCAGCAACGAAGCAAGGAGCACGAGTAACTGTTGAACCATGCTTGCGACATGTTTTCTATATGAAATCAGAGGCTTAGGCTTTAGGATTTGGAACATGGCCCGTGAGCCCAATGTGACTTTCAAGCCGAACAAATATTTTCCAACCAACCTAAATCAGCACTGTCTATTTGACCCACGGTTGTTCGTTCCACAGCAGCTCAACCCGCCCCCGCATCGGCATCTCCCACTGCGTCGAGGATGCCGAGGGCCTGTAAGCCGTACACCCAATCCTCAAAACCCTAAAGCCCTAAACCCTCCAACCCCAAACGAAAAAAACCCCAGAGCCTAAGCCCAGGGCCCTAAGCAATCCTGGGGTTCGCTGGGCCACTCCGGCTGGTGACCCCTTCTTCCACAAAATACTCCTTTCCAAGGGTAAACGGAGGGACCCTTAATAAGGACCCCTAGGTATATATATACCCTTAATATAGTTATTATATACCCTTTGCATAGGCCATTATAGGGTAAGGGTCCCCTTTTTGAGGGTCCCTCCTTTTCCCTTTTGATCCTTGTAAAGCCTTAAGCCGACTCTTCGGGTTCCCCAAATCCTCCGAGTGAGTTTGGGAGTTTCCGAAAATTACTTTGGGGTCCTTATAGTAGTTAGGGGTACTTAGAAATAGATTTTAATTTTTGGTTATTATGATCCCTAAGAAACAGCTGAAATCATAATTTTTGTTGGGGTTCTAAGTTCAGTATAGAGTAGGGATCCTTTTATTTTGGGTACTATATTGGGGTCCCCAAGTTTCGGAAACTCCCGTTCAGGCGTTGAGGGCCTTGCTGTTTGGGAGACTCTTGTTTGGGGATCTGGGTTGAGGATGTGGGGTTTCCGATTTGGGGTTTAGGGTTTAGGGTTTAGGGTTTAGGGTTTAGTGACCTCGATAACGGAATTCAGGAACCCCCCCCAGACTCTGTGAGCTGCCCTGATAGCCTGAGAGGTATATATGGTGCAATTTTTCCGACATCTCGACCCGGGCTTCCTGTCCGTGAGAGTGACGATTCTTGTAAATTTTGGTGATAGCGATTCCTTTAAAAGTATGCTACGCTGCTGACCTGCGGATGCAAACGCAGCCTGGTGTTCTCACTCCTGAGTATTTGTGGGTCGTTGTGCGTTGCGAGGATCCCACCGCAATAGGGAGCTGGATAAAGCAGGAGGCTCGAGAAAAACCAATGCTGCAGAGCTGCATCAGGGTTCTAGTTTAGAAGCCTAAATACGTACCAAAGCTGTTCCGTAGGGTTCCCCATCATCAATATGCTAGAAATATGTATTCTAACATGCCCCAAAACCCTGTTCTAATTATTGAGGTCCCTCTACTAGGGTTCTAGAAGAGCTGGTCAACGTCTGGGAGTGACAGTACGAAAAATCAACAGCAAGCGCAGCAACACATTGCGGAGTGAAGCAGTCAGTCCGGGCCGTCAGGCTTAGCAGCAACATAGGTGGTTGTCAATATTGGGGTCCCTTTTTGGGTTCTTATTATATCACGGCACCTTGTTGCCTAATGTTTAGGGTACCCAAAAAGGGACCACAATTTTGACAACCACCCACATCCTTTTGGGAAGGGCTATGTGCAGCATCAACAGGAGCGCTGATGACAATGCGAATCGCAATGGTCTTGGCGTGGTGGTGATAGTATCTTTAAGAGTAAAGCCGGCGCCAGCAGTGGCGGTGTAGTCGTAACCGTGCCAGCAGCAGCGTTGCTGGTGCTCCTCCTCCTCCTCCTCCTCCTCCTCCTCCTGCTACTGCTACCACAACAACAACAGCTACTACTATTACTACTATTACTACTACTACTACTACTACTACTACTACTACTACTACTACTACTACTACTACTACTACTACTACTACTACTACTACCTACTACTACTACACTACACTACACTACTACTACACTACCACTACCACTACCACTACCACTACCACTACCACTACCACTACCACTACCACTACCACTACCACTACCACTACCACTACCACTACCACTACCACTACCACTACCACTACCACTACCACTACCACTACTACTACCACCTCTAGCCGCTTTACCCACCATGTTTGAGAACTGTCCTTCCGAAGCCGCTGACCCTGCAGCTTTGCCGTTGAGTTTTAGGGCGGTGAGGATGGTTTGCAGGGTTGATTGTTGTTGGATCGAAAGGTTGCTGGGGTTCAGGTGTCATAACGCAATTCAGGGTCGGAGGGGCTGCTAGACCTTATTGCCGCAGCCTCACATTAAAGGTCTTAGGCTACAACTCAGGCTCCGAACTGCCCTAAACCCTCAAACTCATAATGTAGGAACCTGATTAAGAAACCCTGGACCTATAACACCAAAAAAGTAGGATTCATAGAAGGAGCCCTAATGGAGGCCCAAGGTTTCTTGATCAGGTTCCTACATAATTTCTATAATACCCTTGTAGATCCCTTATAGTAGCCCTTATAGACCCCTTTAAAGGAAACCTGATTCTGGATCAGGTTCCTTCATTAGCCCTCCTGCCTTGCGCCAGGTTGATGGGCAGCGGTGAGGCTGGGCAGGTTGCAGGGTTTCGTGCTCGCGGGGTCTTAGGTTTTACATAGAAGCCTCCGTAATCAATACTCTTACTCCCTTGTCGTCCTCAATGTTTCAGTTTTCAACATGAATTTGGCATTATTTCCCCTTCGTCCCAATCCCTATGCTGATTTCTGAGGCCCCTACATCGGGGTCTAGAATGGGCAGGGCTCAGTAAAGATTTTACAGGATTTCTTCACGAGTTCAATCCTGGACGCAACCCGCCATCCGAGCCTCTTGATCGTTTCCGTGGTTTGGGTTTAGGGTTTAGGGTTTAGGGTTTAGGGTTAAGGCTTCGGGGTAAGGGCTACCCTAAACCCTAAACCGTGGCTCGCAGGGGTTTTCCTGTCTCGGGCCTTCGAGGGCTAAGCTTTCGTCGGATCAGATTGAAGGCTTCAGGGCTAAGGGTTCAGGCTCTAGAGTCTACAAGCTTCAAGTTTAGGGGTTCAGGGGGTTTCGAGTCTAGTGAACAGCATACATTCTTAGGTTTAATGGTTGTAGGGTGTTCGGGCTTAGGCTCTTAGGGTTCGGCACTTGTGCCTAAGTGTAGTCTGAGGAGTCCCTCTAACGACCCTAAACCCTAAAAACCCTGAACCCCTTTAGGGCGCCGCGCCCTAAGCCGTAAATCTATACACCAACCCAGAGGGTCCAGATACTCCCTATTATAGGACTTTAGGGCCTTCCTAGGTATCAAAAAACATAAAGAAGCACCACTTGGACCCCGAAGGCAAGCCACTAAACCAGTGAGCACTGCTGCTCCAAAGCCCACAGGCAGCTCTCCTGGCAAAGATGCGGCGACGTCCGGGGGCCCAGGGGCTGAATTTCTGCAGGTGAAATATTGGGTTTGATAGGGTCCTTATGACCATAACTTATAGGGCTTTTAGGTTAATATAGTGTGTCATACTGGGTTCGATAGGGCTTGTACAGAAAATTGTCGGGTTCGTGCAAGGTGTCATGGGTGAGTCAAGTACTTGTTTCGGGTTGAGGGCTCTGGTTTAATGCAGGAACCTAATCAAGAAACCTTGGTTCCCGAGGCAAGGCCTTTTTTCAAAAGAGATCAAGCTGCTATACAAGGCTTCCAGGTGTAGGGTTTTTGTTCCCGGTTCAAGGGTGGTACAAGGCTGACTTTTCGAAGATGAGGGTGAAGGTGGCTTTTCGGCATTTCGGGATTCACGGCTTCGGAGCGTAAATCGTTCTTTTGTCCAAAAAAGCTTGCAGAGAGCATGCCTAAGCCTGAAAGGACCCGTACACTGGGCTTTGGAGTACCATACTCTAGCGCTGTTTTTTTGGGGGACCTGTTGCTAGAAGGGGACCATTGTGATATATGTGTCCATACTTCTTTCCCCTGGCCAGTACATTAAGGCTCTCGGGCCAAAAAGCAAACCGCGCATTGCTTGTGGGTTGTGCTGAGGCTTGGGTCTCTCTAATCTTTCAGGACTTAGGCTGTTTTTAGGCTGTTAGGCGTTTGAAGCACTGAAAACTTAGGCCTTAAACCCTGAACCTTTTTTAAATCCTTTCACCCATCTCATTCCGGGTCTCCTTTTTGAACCTGAATAGCAGGAAGAAGGGTATCAGGGTATCATCTTCTAGGGGGATACTGGCGAGCCTCTATGAGGAGGAGGCCCTAAACTCGAACCCCAAGCCGACCCCGACAAAATGCACCAGACTTGAGACCAAGAAGGGTTTGGGGCTCAGGGTTTACCTTAACCCCAAGTAACCTTCCTTTTTAGGGCCCTTTATAAAGAAATCATATTAGGGAACCCTAAAACGGTAGGTTCCTGAGGGTCCAGGTAGGGCTTAGGGTTCAGGATCTAGGGTTTAGAGTCTCAAGTGTTCGAAGATCGAACATCGCGGATACCGGTAACGACAGCGACATGACTGCTACTAATTCGGACATCAAGAAATAGGTGCTTCAGGGCTTTGATTTAAAAGCCTGAAACTTCTGCCATGCCATTTCATTAGCCATCCTTGTTGAAATTATAATCTAACATGCCACCAAACCTGACCAAAACCCTATTCTAATTACTAAAGCGCCTATATCATGGCACTTTAGGGCTTCAGGGTTTAGAGTTCCGGGTTTGCCTTTCGCCAGGGCAGCTGCTGAGCCCGCTCGTTCCGGCGGAGGAACAGAACACAAGCAAGGGATGGGGCTTGGGATTTGAGTAAAGTGGGGCCTTGATAGGGTTGTAGACGGGGACTTTTTCGGGTTGAGGGTTCGGGGCTTTGCTGGAGTTTTAGAGAGGTTGTGTTTGGGTCACATGCAGTTGTTTGAGGGGTTTGCAGGGTTTTGCTCGCTTTAGGGTTCGTAGGCTTTGTGGGTTCGTGTGGCTTGGGTTTAGGACTTTCCTGGGTTTAGGGCTTATGGCTCAAGAGGCTGAAGAATACAATGGGGGCTTTGCGGCCGTAGATCCCACACCCCCTGTTTCCCTAGTGCCTCAGTGGTGTAGACCATGAAAAGCCCCAATCCCTGGCCCTAGATACTACCAAGCCCTCCTACTCTACACCCTGAACCCTAAAACCCCAATCCTTAAACCCTAAATCCTAATCCCTAAGCCCTGAACCCTATAACTTTCTAAACTCTAAACCTTCAAAAAAAACGAACCCTATGACATACGAAACCCTACTCCCACACTTCAGCGTCTGGAATGGAAGGCAGTCCTCAGGACTTTCTCCCAGGCGTCTCATGCAGCCGGGCGCCGAGTCAAACAGCTACGTACCAGCAGAGCCGCATCATCAGGGTTCAGGGTTTAGGTTTGAGGCATTTACGGGCAGGGTTTAGGGCCTAGGATTTAGGTATTAGAGTTTATTGACTATGGTTCACGATGTCGAGAGTTTGCTTTCGGTTCAGGGCTTAGGCGGAAACACAGTCGACAAGAATCCTCGGGGCTGAAGACATCCAGTCTGCTGACATGTGCAGTGCCGAAGAGCATCCGACTGTGTGCCTGTCACCGCAGGCCTTGAGCTTCATGCTGCGCAGTGGGGAAACGTGTGCCTACTGTAGTGCTTGTGTTGCCGTCGAAACGGTGTACCTCATTTGAGGCTTCTTATATATACTACTGTTTTATTCTACAGCGGTTTACATCAAGGACACGAAAGCTCCAACACACAGATCCCAAACGTTAAACCTTAAACCCACGACCAAAATATCCTAAACCCCAGCGCTCTGAACAGAGAGGCTTCATAATAAATACCTACATGAATTTCCTATCAAGCTGCTTGAATTGTCACAGGAGCTAGAGAGCAGCTTTAAAAGACGCAGTTCAGCTTTAAAGACGTGGTTTCAAAAAAGCACTCGTAGATCCTATTCTCTATGCACTTTTTGTGATCTCTAACCCTCAAACCCCAAAACCCCCTAAACTCCAAAACCCTGAAGCTCTCAAACACCCAAGACCTAAACTCCAAGACCCTAAACCGAAACCTCTCAAACGCCCCCCCAAAACCAGAAAATATCCTAGACCCTAAACACCTTCATCTCTAAAACCCTAAACCCTAAACCCTAAACCCTAAACCCTAAACCCTAAACCCTACCTACAGCAGCCGGAACCCAATATAAAGTAGGGCGCTAGAACTAAACCTGGTTTTCAGAGGAAGTTATCAGAGAACCGCGTTCCTTTATTAAGAACCTGGTTCTTCTTGAGAACCTATATTTATGTTCGCATATTCAGGTTCATCTCTACTTGTGTGTGGTTTCGGTAGGTAAACTTGAGGATTCGGAAAGCTTTAAGGGGCTTCGGAGACATTGTCTGGGGTTTCGGAAGATAAATTTAAAGGATTCGGAAAGGTTTCTGCTGATTCGAGACCGATCTGTCGCAGAGCGTGGCTCTCTTTTTTCGTCGCGCCCTGATCCTGATCGAAGGGATGGCGACGCCGGAGCCCAAGGCACCTGCCGAAACTCAATTGTTTGCGATTGACTTTGCGTCGTATATCCTTCAGCTGTGTGGGCTTTGCTGGGGCTGTAGATTTTGCTTAGCTTTCGCGAGCATGGCTGAGCGCTTTTCGGTGGAAGGCCTAGATTCCGAATGGGAGACCTTGGAGAACGTTCGTGGGAGATTGCGTGAGGAAGGTGGCCGACTCGTGATTTCGAACGAGGATGGTAGTTACGATTCAAGCAACCGCCTGGCTATCCAGAACCTTGAGCTCCTTACCCCAATGCTGGTTCGAATGACTTCGTGCAACCTCAAGATCCCAGATATCGATCCCCTACGAATCGTTCTGCAAAAGGTTTACCAATTGTTCGGCAAAGAACCTCCGGAGAGCGAAGTCGACGATGAAGCTTGGGCTCTTCGGCACCTCGTGGGTCATGTGAAGCGCAAGACCCAGAAACATCTGGTTTCTCTAGCCGCTGGGTATCAATTAACCTGTATATAGTAAAGTTGTATCGACAGACCCCAAACACCTTCAATCGTAGCTTTTTTCAATGTTTGATCCCTACAGGAGCCAGATTTCCAAGATATGTGCCTCATTTTGAACCCTCAGCTTGAGGACTGCTAGCATCCTGCACACTTTCGTGCACATTCACAATCGCCTTTGCCTCAATATGTATCGAGCCCAAACCTCGTATCGTTCAACTTTCTTGCAGGATTTGGTGCAAGGAATCCGAGCACGTGCAGCTCCTCCCCTTGACCCTGAGGCAGACCCTCAGATTGAGGCGCTACATGTAACAAGAACTGTAGTGACCTTGCCATCCCTCCCTCTCCCTCTCTATCTATGCCTACCCTTGTATATAATATATGTATATATATATATGTATACACACATACATGTATATAGGGTTTGATGAAGTCTAGTGCGTGTGTGTGTATATATATACATATATATACGCCCATTTATAAACATATGTATCCACACATATATGTATCGTTTGTATTAACTCTTCTTTCTCGTAGTTATCGTTTATCTTTCTACTTTTCCCGATGATACAGACTGACGAGGGCTTTGAGGGCTTTCCAATGTTTGTGGATCGACATATGTTTCGCATTCAGCCCAACATATGCTGCAGGCCATTCTTGACGACAGCCAGCCGCCGGAACTGGTGCTTGCAGCAGACCTGCCAGAGCCAGCTGTTGCTGAAGCTCCCATACCCGAGCCCGAATGTCTGGCAGCTCCCGCCGAGCCAAGTCCTGTTGCGGAGGCTGCCTTGCCCGAGCCCAGACGTGTTCCGGAAGCAGCTCCCCCGTCTGAGCCAACACGTGTTCCTGAAGCAGCTCCCCCGTCTCAGCCAACACGTGTTCCGAAAGCAGCTCCCCCGTCTGAGCCAACACGTGTTCCGGAAGCAGCTCCCCCGTCTGAGGCAACACGTGTTCCGAAAGCAGCTCCCCCGTCTCAGCCAACTCGTGTTCCGGAAGCAGCTCCCCCGTCTCAGCCAACTCGTGTTCCGGAAGCAGCTCCCCCGTCTCAGCCAACTCGTGTTCCGGAAGCAGCTCCCCCGTCTCAGCCAACACGTGTTCCGGAAGCAGCTCCCAGGCCCAGGACTAGTGTTCCCGAAGTTGCTGTGTGCCCACCAGCTCGTGTCACCTCATCTGGTTCTCTCTGCGAGCTGCCATCACCCACCCAGTCTGAGTCTTCCTCGCACTCGAGTAACCTGTCGATCCAAATCTATAGCAACTTTTCTCATTGTGTTGGTCTAGGAAGTGAGATAGTATCTGAACCCAATCGGTAGACGTTGTCACGACTGCATGCTTAATCGATCAAGGCGGCCCAAGAAAGCTGCAGCTGAAGATGCTGCAGGATGAGCTGGCAAGGATTTTCGATTGCACAGCTCATTACGTGGTATTCATGTCTTTGTCTGTGTTGGTGTGTGTGTGCTAAAGAGCCAAAATCATCTGTCTCACCTGTCTGCCTCTCTCTCTCTCTTTCGCTTTCTGTCTCATTCTATCTTTTGTAATTCAGTTTACGGCATGAACTACTCTCTTCACTCTCTCCCGCTCCCCCTCTCCCCCTCTTCCCCCTCTTCCTCTCCCCCTCTCCCTCCCTCCCTGCCTGCCTCCCTCCCTTGCTCGCTCGCTCGCTCGCTCGCTCTCTCTCTCTCTCTCTCTCTCTCTCTCTCTCTCTCTCTCTCTCTCTCTCTCTCTCTCTCTCTCTCTCTCTCTCTCTCTCTCTCTCTCGATTGTTGTGAGGATTCGCGAGAAGCGTGCGAAGATGGAACGGCTGGCAGACTCCAGAGCCCCTGCAGGCAGTGTTCCCTTTGCATTCAGAGTTATATATTCATAAATTACTCCATCACCGAAGTGAGTTGAATCATATGTTAATTCGACATTATAATGCCTCAAAAGCCAAGCCTCTGTTCGGAGGCCATCAGGATGCCCGCGCCGCAAGCCAGGAGGAGTTGGAGACGCCACCACCGAAGCCAAGCCTCCTGCAGCCGGATGATGCAGACACACAGTTGTACGACATCATGCGCGTGCCTCTGACTCCCTTGACCCCAGACTTCAACAAACCCTCGAGAACGCTGAGCACTGCATCCGTGGACACAAAACGCTGGATGTATCAGCATCCGGGCGAGCCGAAACCGAGTCCAGCTAAGCCCCGAGCACTTCTTCAAGAACCGCCCCCTGAACAAGAAGAGCCCGAGAGTGCGCTGCCGACACACGACCACGAGGAAGAGCAGCAAGCAGAGCCGATGCAGGAGGACGCAGACAAGTGCGAAGAGGCTGCTCCCTCGGAGGCTGCTCTCGCCCATACCGTTGGTTCTGTTTTCCATCCTACTGTGTTATAAAGATCATTATTGGTCATGCTCGTATGATACATAGACAAATATCTGCAAATGTCAACATCCCCGAAAATCCCGCTACATTCATTTTAATTCCTGTGGTCTTTAGATAGTTCCCCATCATCTACACCGAACAGGTGTTCGGCAGACGACAGCAGCTTGGACTCAGATCGAGGATCAAGGCCCAGAACAAGGACAAGAAGAGCGCCGACAAGGAGGCTGCCGATCCGGATGGGTTTTCTGGGATGCGGGGAGGCAAGAAGCTTAAACGCAAGGCCTCCAAGAGCCGCCTTGCTCGTCTCAAGAAGATGCGCAAGTCCCGCAGCTTCTCGGCAAGCGGCCACGACCTCGACGAGCAGGAGAACGAGGCCGAGGAGAAGGAAGAGGGCGAGTGGGAGCAGGACGCCCACGACGCTGGCAAGGCCAAGCGCAAGCCGAAGGCCAAAGCCTCGCCGAAAGCCAAATCCGGACCGAGAGCGAAAGCGAAAGCCAAGTCATCTCCGAAAGCCAAGTCCGCACCGAGAGCCAAAGTGAAAGCCGCAGCCAAGTCTTTGTCCTCGAAGCCGGCCGAGGGTGATGACGATGTGGCGCACACCAAGAATTCAAAGGGCGGTCGACCGAAGGGATCCAAGAATAAGCCGAAGGAGGTTGTTGAGGAGAAGAAGACGAAGCGCGCCCCCAGGGTTGCCCCGAGCATCCGCCTCAACAGCAAGTCCGCCGACGACACGCCCCACGACCCTCTTGACCTTAAGTACATATTGGAGTTTTGGAGCGACTTCGAGAACCCCAATGCCGACATGGCCATCTTGAAGAAAGAGGTCAAGGCATGGAAGCCAGTCTTCACCTATGTGGTGCCGGACATCTATTGGAGCCGCAACGAGTGTGCGCTCACGTTCCACTACGAGAACGAAAGCGGAGAGGCTTGCAAAAGCAACTTGGGCCACTTCCACTTTAGCCGCGACAACTCCGGGCTGTTGATTGCCATTGCCTGCAGCTACTTGCTGGCTACTTGTCGTTAACAAGAATGCCTGTAATCTACACAACGAAATTTCACGGCCCAACCGTCCATCTATCTGTCTATCTAGCTTCCTATTTATCTATGTGTAGACAGAGCCCTATATTGCTATTGTGTATGTACACACCAACACAAACCTCGGAACCCCAAGCCCCATATAAACCCCAAGCCCCATACAAACCCTAAAGAAACCCCTTACTGTGTGCCTCGATGAACCCTCCCGGACTCCTTGTCCTTGCTCCTCCGTTCTCCGATGCTTCGCCCAGGCTTGGTTCATCGAGGAGAAGAACATCGTGGATCCTCGGCATCGCGACATTGCACCCAAGGTGTTGTCGCTCAAGGCTGCAGGGTTCAAGGCCTTGAAGGAGTTGGGAGCTTCCGGCTTCTGAACGCAATCCGTGCAAGGGTTGCAAAATGTTTTGGAGCTGTCGATGCATAGCTCAGTTAGGTGGCTTAGAGCGCTGGAGTTTGATTATTTCAGTGCTGTGCTGAATCTGATGGCATTGTAGCTCATGGGGAAGTTCTTAGCCTGCTGCTTGCAAGGGCTGCAAGTAAGATGCACGATGTCATGGTTTGAGCAATCAACGTCCTACAGCGGCAGTAGGAATTTGGTATCTCTAGAGAACTACTTAAGTATTTGAGTTAACATGTTCGGTGTCTTTCTTGACATTGGGGAAGCATCCGAAGGCAGCCTTGCTCAGCTACCGCAAAAAAGCAGGACTCAGCTGAAAAAGTGAGTGGTGGGCGATCAGAGCATATCAGAGCTACTTTGCACATGTTGGCTGTTGTGCACTCAGCACAACCAACACATTCCTGTGTACCGTCAGCGGCTGTGTCCACATATGCACAGTACTCCTATCCTGCTGAGGTCGCGTCATGGGCCGCCTCAAGTTCAAGGCTCACGCCCGCCGGGCGCGCAGCAAGAAAGATCAGCGATGTAGTCGACCTGGCGTGTTTGCTGTTCCTATATGCCTGCCTGCACCGTTGTGCTATGTGTTCGAAGTCCAATCCGTGTGTGCATGGGTACCATGTCGGCCCTCAGCCTTCTGTTTTGTTTGGCCCTGGCCGAGTGTTTCTGCAAAGATGGTGCCGGTAGATGAGCTGGTGCTGAAGCTCCTAGCCTTGGGGGCTCCCAAAGCCGCCCGGTGCATGTGCAACCGCCGTGTAGAATTCGAAGATCAGACAGTAACACGTGCAAAGCTATACCAGCAGCCCTCCACCTTGGCACCCCGGACTTCTGTCTGTCTGCGCAACTCAGGACTTCGTTGCCGTGGTGCTGCTTACGATATGGACCTCAGGCCTGTACGATCTCACGGAGGCGGGATGGGCACAGACCTATGCAAATGCGATGAACAATCTAGGCTGGTGTTAGTGTGTGCGCCCCCATCTGTATGCAGTGCTTCGAATGGATCGAGTACTTTGCCGGGTCATCTCGGTGCACTTCGAAGGTGCGATTGAGAGGGTATACGGGTGCCCGCTTCGACAAAGTCTATTATGCCCCATCCTCGGACCGCCCTCACTCATCCAACTTTATGGATATCAACAGTTGCTCTGGCTTTGTGAGACCCGGCTGCAACCGAACCCGATACCCCTTGAACTCCTAAGTGATGTCATATGAGTGTTCGGGAGTAGTCTAGTTGTGAAAGGGCCCTGCTCTGACTTATGCAAATGCGATACTCTAGCTAAGGCTAGCCATAGTGGCTTTGCTGAAATGCAAATCCCACTCTTTCGCGATATGGCTGGGTATTAAGTGCTCCTCCTGGACAAGCATCAACAAAGGGACCTCCATGCGATCTGCTTGTGACCCGTGGGGAGATGCAGAGAAGCCTTCGGTCCGAGAGGCCAATCAGATGTTGGAAAGGACGGGTTTCGAGTTCAGGGTTCTTCTTGGAAGGGCTATCTATGTTTGTTGGGTTTGGAGAGCTTTGTAGGGGTACGATATAAAGCTACTATACTATGTACCGCTTCAGGAGCTCGTGCTTGCTACTCTTAGCCGTCGCCTTGGGTGGCTGTTTCGTCTTGGAGCAGCCGGGAGGATCGGTGCTGGAGTTTTACCCTTCCTTCCGCTTTGTTTTGTCCGCACTGGTCAGCCAAGCTGGTGTGGGGGCCGCGGGGAACTTAGTGTGATTGTAAGGTTTGTAGGAGGTTCTGAAGTTGCTTTGTCCGGTCGGGGTCTTTGAGGGATTTAGTCAGTGCTCCGGAATCATATCCAAGTCTTGTTAATACAGGTGAGTAGGTAGGTAGGTCGGGAGCCATGGATACACAGATAGGTAGGTAGGCAGGTAAGTAGTCGGTTGGGGTTGCTAGCTCGGTACGTATAGGTTTAGGTATAGGTGTATAATGGTAAAAAAAAGTGTATATATATATATATATATATATTTATTTATATATCATGTAGGGCCCAGGGTCGCTGCAACCGTTCCCTACCATCCGTAACTTAATATTATCCTACATATATACCCTCTAGCTCTAGCTGGGCTTACTGGGGGAATGGGGCACTCCTTGAAACCCTTGCTCCTGCTGCTAGCTTAACCAATCTTTGCCAACTTTCCGATCAAGGCCCGAACTACATAAGACGAATATTAGATTAGCCGATTTGTTGGCCACATTAACTTCCCACCCTTTTCGACCAGGTCTCGAGAGTCGGATGGTGGATGGGGCTCTACGGAGGCCCGTGTCCGAAGCGCCAGTACGCATTCTCCAACTCGCACCACATCAGGCGGCTAGATTTGGGAGTGCTCAAGAAAACCAACCGAAAGCAGCTCAAGGCAAAGGGGAATCTCAAGACGGTATCAAGAAGGGCTCGGAAGGATGGCACTGTTGCTTATACCGGCACGAAAGCCTTGAAGTCTACAGAGACGCTGCACTAGAAATAGCATCCTCGTCTCCTGAAATGGCACAATCTACTCGCTTCATGTGTGTTTGTGTAGTATTATATATGCATCGCATGGATTTGTTATCTATGTATGTGTAGTGCTTCTCACACATGCTGCGATCAGATTGAACCGTTTCCCTTTTTCAAGCTTCTGCGGCTTCCAAGGTTTGAGGTGGGGTTCTAGCTAAAGTGCGCGGACTTGGGCTGTGTACGTTTCTATGTATGTATGTACGAATGTATGTGTGTGATCCTTAATTACAGTTTTAGGTTTTTTTGGCTGTGTTGTTTTAGCTTGATAGCTCGAATGGGTTTCGTTATGGTAAGGACACTTATTATATATTCTTCGGGATGATACTATCCAATTTCTAGTGGGGTGTTATGATATGCGCAGCTTATACAGGGAAAGGCTGGCTTAAGTTAGGGGCTATATATGGTAACTATAGTCATCGTGCTCAGGATCTATCCGCTACCCTTTGCTGATGCGGTGGCAGGCATCTTCCAGGACTTGAAGAGCTCTGCTAAGGGTTGCCCGACAATCCCCCACACCGTTCCCGGGTCTGGCCACCAGGCCTTCAGTGCAGCAGAGACACCAAGACATGTACAGCAGCTCTTTCGCGCCGCAGACCTTCAGTCTGTGTATGATTATTTGCGAGGGGGAACCCACTTGGAGCTGCCTCCAGAATGGAGGCCCCAGTTCCCTATTAGGTCCGGAAGGAATTCCCGAAAGAGGCGTTTCAACTAGGGGCCGAGAGCTTCTAGAGCCGAAGGAACGGAGGAAACCGCAAATGTGCTCCTACGTAGCCATACATAAGTACGATCATAGAAGCTTTGTTTAGGCTTCTTTGCGTTATTTTGGTTTCTTAAGTGGTTTTATTAGGTTTAAGTAAGTTTTCATTACCCAGAATATAGGTTTTTAGGTTGAAAACCCATAAATAGTCCCTGAAAACCCATTAAAAACCCGTTGGAACCCATATGTTATATATGAAGAACCTGGTTATTACCTAGAACCCTCATTTCCAGAACCCATCTTTAAGCGTCGGGAACCCATCTTTAAGCGTCGGGAACCCATAAAAAGGCATAGGGCAAAAGTAGGTTTTTATAGCAGCGCAAAGTTTGCGTAGTCGGCGGCTTTGGGGCATCGTGTACGGTTTCCTTCGACACCTTCTGAAATTTGTGCAGGCCCGGCTTGTCGATTGTGTCACTAGATATTGTCGCCGAAAGCCGAAAAGACCCACAACTCCGAACGGAACCAGCCGATGTTGCAAACACAAACCACATAGTATAGTGAAGTGTCTTATCTGCACACCCGATGTCCTCAAGTGTGCTCAAGACACTGTAGCAGAAGGCAGCCAGCACGGCTGCAGCGCAGTTATGTCGAAGGCATGGAGTTGCCAGACCCTGGCAGCAGGGTATGATCACATTATGCAAGACGCTGCCGCCGAGCAGCTTCTTACTGAGGAGCAGGAGGTGCTGAAGCAGATTCGAGCACCCAGCTTTCAACAAAGTATGAGTGTTTCTTCTACCGCATGAACGAACATTGTAGGCATGACCCAGCTTGACATTGTAGCTGTTTCAACCTTGACTACATATCCCTTGCACGGTGCACTGAGTTGCTCGAGTCGGAAGTGGACACGGAAGAGTCCGGGATCCCTGCCCCGCCTTCTGTGGCGAGCCAGGAGCGGACGATGTATTTCCTCGGTACAACGCACACATGCATTGCCACAGGCTGGTGGTATTGGATCCGTCTTCGGGTCCACGGATGACCAACAGACCATCCCTGCGACGGTCCTGCTGGCACGGTAATATGTGTAGAACAAATATGTTCCGGGAAGTACGGAAACTAGGGTGTCGTGTATTGCCAGGAAGAAGAGCTTTCCCAGATGGGTGTTGCCACCAAGGAGGATGAGAAGGACATCTGATTTCTAAGCAGCATGGCTATCCTACATGTTTATAGTCCAGTGAAAATAGTCTTGCGTGTTTCGGCTAGGAGCTGGAGAATGAACCCGAGCAAACGGATGCACCAGAAGCCGTGGTACCTGAAGATGGTGATGAAGCTCCCGAACGGCCGCTCAAGCGCAAGCGCACTCGGGCCAAGACCAGACGTGTGCCCTGACGAATCGTTTGTGCAATGTAGATACCATTCTGATTGCCCCGATATGCTTGTTTTGGGAAAGCCCCAACCAGGAGCTCCTGCAGGAAGCGGCGAAAGCCAGGATCGCCAGGATGACAAAACCAAAAAAAAAAGGACAGACCTGAATGTGCCAAAGTTTGTGATCGACAGATGGCAGTCTGGCACAAGCGCCAAAGACGAGATGGCTGAGCTGTTGTTGCAAGTCAACAACGACAAGGAGACCTATCAGTGCCTGAGCCATGCGACTAGAACCGTGATCTAGTCAGTCTGTGCTCTGAACAGGAGAAGTTCATCACCGAGCTTGAGCTCATCGTTCGCAAGATCAAGAAGTTCGTTCTTCATATCGACGAAGGCTGGTACAGCGAACAAGAGATGAAGAGCGAGCTCAAGTGGTCCCAGTCGGGGGCTTATCTGGGGCAGTTCGTTCCGGGAGTCTCTTATGCAATGCTGTTTTCACTGCCCTCCCTGTCCATTCCCGAACAGAAGCAATCAGCATGCCCCATAGCCCACAACCCCCGAAATCAAAGCCCGTCTACCCTGTGCAGTTAAATAAAACCAGTGGAACTCATCCCCGCTTTCCTCCGCAGGACAAGAATCAGTGGTGCCAAGAAGATCTGCGACGCGAACCCGGCGCTGACCAGGACCTCGTCTGCACTGCTTTGGCGATGTTTGTTGCGCAGCAGTATAGAGTAGGACCGGATCTAGCTCATCTATGTGGGCAGGTGCAACCAATATGACGGCGTCAAGGAATATTACGTGACAGTCAGAGAGACAGCCAAGCATGTTCATGCGCAAGAGAACGAGCACACCGAGAAGACGATTCAGAAGGCCTACCCTCGAATCGTTCGAACATCCCAAGGCTCATATAACCCGGACAAGCCATCTGTAAATCTGTAAACAGGCAACCGACCCAGTCGACGTGAAGAAGGACGACTTCGCCCTGCTGGACAAAGCCCAGGCACGATCCGGCAACTCGAGCCGTGCCGAAGCTTCCGCCGGCCAATCTGTTCACGAGGCCCGCGCGAGTCGTGATGCCGAGTGTGGATCATTTAATTGGGGTCTTTAAAGGTTTTCAAGTAGATAACTTTATGTAATAGTGTCTATATATATATATATATACACATATATGGAGACATGTAGTATACATGTATACGTGCCTGTGTGTGGGTGTAACGTGCTGTAAAATATTTAATAACAGGAGGGAGCGAAAGAAGCAAAGGGGAGCACAGAGGGAGGGCGAGAGCTTCACCAAGGATAGACGAAGTGTGTCTGCTGCATATATGTAATATGTATGCATGTGGCTTCTACATTTGTGCATGTTCGTGAGTCTCTAACCACAGACAAAACAGAAACAGTATGTATAGATATGCCTATTTATGTGTAATTCTATGAAACATTAACTAAACTATCATGTCTATACATACACAGATACATGTGGGGCTGTCTGGAGGTGGCTGGCTAAGGGTGGTAATAGGAGAGAGGGAGAGGGAGAGAGAGAGAGAGAGAGAGAGAGAGAGAGAGAGAGAGAGAGAGATCCAGAAAGAGAGAGAGAGAGAGAGAGAGAGAGAGAGAGAGCACTCAGGTGTGTGTATTTCGGTATTGTTCCTGTTGTTGTGTTTTCGGTGTTGTTGCTGTTGCAGTTGCAGTTGTGGCGGTGGTGGCGGTTCTTGTGGCTGTCATTATCCTTCTCTTTGTCCCTGTGCTTGCGGTCCTGGTTGGGTTGTGGTTGTGGTTGTTGCTGTTGCCGTTGCTGTTGCTGTTGTTGTTGCTGCTGCTTTTGTTGTTGTTGTTGTTGTTGTTGTTGTTGTTGTGGTTGTCATTGTCGCTGCTGCTGCTGCTGCTGCTTCCGCTGCAGTGCTGGTGGTGGTGTTTGTGGCGCTGCTGGTGCTGGCGGTGGTGTGTGGATGTGACTTTCTACCTTAGTGCGTTCGTGTTTGATCTGTCCTACGATTGCAAGTGCGTGATGCTTGGTTTCATCCCTGTTGCCCTGCCAGCAAAAAGCCAGCGCCGACCGCTTCCTGGAATCCCTCCTCAACAAGTCCAGCAAGCTCCGACAGCTGCTCAAGGACCTCCGTTCCAATTATGGAACGGATGCTGCATCGTTCATTCCTCAGATTGGCAATCACGTCGTATGCCATGACTGACCCAAGCAGATGTTGCAACCGACCCCAAAACGTGTCATTTATTCAGGTCGATCAAGACCCTCGAGGATCACATCACCAAGTTGGACGCAGAATATGTGAAGATCAACGAGGCCAAGGCTAACGGGGAGGTGGCCGGCCACACCGCGAGGCCAGCTCAGCTTCTTCAATTGCTTTCGTGACTCTCGTGGGGTTTGATACCGTGCATTGCCGGGTTTCCCTTTTCCCTCAATCTGCTTCAATTACGATAATACGGTATCCTCCCGAACCTTAGGCTATGCATCTTGATGCCGAATGACCACACTGACTCGGCCTTCATGCACTGAAACCGCTTCCCTCCCTGCGTGTCCCCTCGCACTGCTGCAGTTGGTGGACGACTCTGGAGAAGAAGATCAAAGATGCCACAATGACGCCGGATCCTTATCCATGTGTCCCTACAACACTCTTTGACCTCTACACTTCCCTGTTCAGGGCCAGCCGTGCCACAGCCTCCGAGTTGCAAGTGAGGCACCTCAGCAGAGCAGGACAGTGGTTCGGATGTTGGTGTTCCTGGCCACTTTCATACCGTCTGCAGATCACACTTCATAGTTACCGGCACTGAGGAATGCTAAGAAGTTCTTTGCCAAGAACGAGATTGCACCCGCTGGAGCTGGTGCACCACCTTCGGGTGGGAGACAGAGAGCCCCTAAGGCCAAGGCGAAAGCCAAGACGGCGCCCAAATCGAAGTAGGCGGCTGCCTCGCATGACTTGCATCCCCTTATAAACCATATAGGAACCCTATGGCCCTAAACCTATACAAACCCTGGTAGTCCTATGGTTCGTATACACGTTATCCCTCCCACACTGTCTATAAATCCTAGCCCTGAGAATCTTCGCAGACTCACGTATGGAGAGATTGTGCACTTGTACTTCAGGAGCCAGGTCTGCCGTGCAAGTCATGTCAGAAGCTGCAAGCACAGCCTCCCCAGCTTGATGTGATTTTGGATGCCAGCTCTCGTGGTCCTTGCCGCGAGCACATGTGTGAAGGGTGACAGCAGGTGGCCGTTCAGTTCTCAAAGTGCTGTTGTTTCGAGAACATACAAGTGCAAGTGTCGTACAAACTTAGGGTTTCTGTGGTCATGGTCTGCTGCCTCGAAGACTCGCCCCGAGTCCTCTTGTGGTAACCCCGGGATATGGTGCGGTCCTGGGGGGGAAGTACAGGACTTCGCCTCCATGAAACCTGGGGCCAGGATTAGCTGAGATGCGCGATCTCCGGTGCCAGAAACACAACTTCGCAAGTGTTTGCATGTGCACATGTGGGTGTAGCAGTGCCTATGCAGGCCCCCTCATCCCGAAATATTTTAAGCCCAACGTCGTCTCTCACACGCCAGAACCCGGACCGGTGGCGAAGAACTGCTTTCGCTTGATCGGAGATGGCGCCGGGAGCTCATCAGATGCCAGCCGCTTCCGAACCTTCAGGACATGTACTGCGAAATCAAACTAGTCTGAAAGTTGAGGGTCATGTTCGGCTGCGAAGTGAAAGTCTGGCTTGGCTCAAAACAGGTGGTTGTTTAGGAGTTTAAGGTGTTTCGGAGTGACATACAAATGTCATGGAGACTCCGGAGCTCGAGCTATGGGATCTTCTGACCTGTCATCGCTCTGTGTTCCGGTCGCAAGCTAGTCTGTAGCAAGCAAGAACAAGGTCATGTCATGTGTAGTTGGCAACCCCCGAACCATGATTGCACTTAGGCCGATGATGCTCCCTATCCATGGCCAGACCCATCATGCGTGGACGTGGCTAGCTGCCGCACAAAGCCCCCTGCAAGCTTGGCTACTGCAGAGGTCGTGCCTTCAAAGCCAATGCTAGCGGCCTGGAAACCGCATGTTTCGGATTCTGTTTTGGCCGACAGCAAGATAATGTCTATGCTTCGAGAAGTGGATGAGCATTCTGATATAGAATGGTGTTTGGCTGCCCGGGCTACTACTGCAGGGGGTGTTCTCAGCCACGCAATCCATATTGTGAATCGGCTGTCCCATCGTTATGCTCCTATGATATTCAAAATAGGTTTCACACACAATGCTTCCTGGCGCTGGGAAAATACCATTTACGGTTACAGATGGGATCGGGACAAGTGGGAGAAGATGTGCTTATTACACATCGCCGAAGAACCTTTCAGCCCGGCAATGCTCGAAGCCGCCCTCATCAATAAGTTTCAAAGAGCCTAAGCCGGTGATTTTAGTCAATAGCTTTTGGACCTTTTGTATCTATTTATACAGGCCCTTCAATCATAATTACATAATCAGACAGGCGCCCCTAGATTCCTTCGGATAACATCCCTGAGGCACGCCTGGCTGCCGAAACACTCGATCCGGCGGAGATAATGTGAGGACGGATGGGGCCGCCTCGGTGAGCGTGTACATGACATACATTGTGTACAGGTCTTTCAAAGACAAGCCTGTTTGATGGTTGTTCGCTTGGGCAAGGATTGCTCTGCAAGGGTGTGTGTCACTTCCAGACACAGCTCGCGGATGGGAAACAACTTTGAACACTGAATGTTCATGTGCAAGCGAGTGACCATTAAATGCCTGGACAGGTAGACAGACAAATAGTCTGCATCATGAGCATTGCCATTGCCCTGCAACTGAAGTTGTGTGCTTTCTCATGTAACGACACAAACATAAACCTCTTCCGTTTTGCCGAGGCCGCATGCAGCTCGGCAGTGCTGTCTGCCCGGGCTGTGGTGGAAGAAATGCCAGCTGCAGCGACTTCTTCAGTGCGAAGGGTTGCCAAGTGCTCTCTTGGGGATGCCGAGAGGGACATGCATAGATTGGGGAAAAAGTTTCGGTTGAGACTTGGGGTGCCCCTGAGCCGTGTTTCGCTACTGAACAATGTGCAGATCGCCCTACTGTTCATGTCATCCTGGATCAAGTATTTTCTTGAGAAGAACCTTTGGTATTTCCTATGTGGTTTACAAGAGCCGGACGAGCAACGATGTGAGCGACAACTGGGGCTATTCTGGGAACGTTTTCGTGGGATTTCACCGAATCATCCAGTATTTCAACGATCGACGGCTGACCTTTGCAGGACTTGTCCCGTCCTCGTGCACGGGGACGAGGGACGGAGTGCCAAGAAAACGGCAATCATGATATTGTCTTTTCATGCTGTTCTTGGCCGTGGAAGCCAGCCATCGACAACTCCGGGGCCTTCTTGTGAGGAGTACACGACACAGGAACTGAATTTTCTTGGCCACACCTTCGCCACACGATATTTGCTATCCGTATTGCCACGGGCCATGTACGACGATGAGGTTGCAGGTAACTTCCAGCGACTTTTGGGCCATCTTGTTCCGGATATGCGAAGGCTTTTCGAGGAAGGGTTGGTATCCCCTATCTACGACAAGAAGTTTTATGTATGCGTCGTCAACATTGTCGGGGATTGGCCATTCTTGGCCAAGGCATTCAACTACAATTGGACATTTGGAAATTCCGCGAAGCGCGAGACGTCCAAACAAGTGCCAAAGGGGATCTGTCATGCATGTTTGGCCGACAGGCCAGGCTTCCCTTTCGAGGATTTCGAATCCGAGGTGCCGCGGTGGAAGCAAACTGTCAACTCTATCCCTGCCTATACTACGACGCCGGTTCTGATGACGTTGGCACATGACACGGACGACCCATCCGGCTTCGCAGGCCAAGATTACTTCCACGGCTTTCATCTCGGCGCCGGCAAAATCTTTATGGCTTCCGCTCTGGCTCTTTTGAACTACAGTTTCGATGGTC